GGCAAATCCACCCAATATGAAGGGAATGTCAGTATCTCCCAGGAGGAAGATCTCTGAGGCTTCAAAGAGGAAAACAAGTTTAATATATTTTTATGTATGTAAAACCCATATGTATATTTTAAATAAGTATTTATATATGATTTTTTATTATTATTAAAGGTACCATGAAATTCAAGGAGATCACTGTATTCATTTTCTTCCTAGTAAATAGCAAAATGTTTTTAACAGGAAAAGCACCGCTCTAGGACCTCTTCTACTATGCTAAATAGCTAACATCATTCCTGTCCTATAATTTTAATTTAGTCCCAAAGACGCACTGATTTATCTTGGATGATGTGTTTTTTATTGTCAAGTACTACTCACCCCTGAAAAGAGTTATGGAGCCAGGTTAGAAAGACTCTGTAAGATACAGTAAGTTCCTTGCATGTGTGTCTGCCTCTTAGCAGAGACTTGATTTTAACTCTCACTCCATGCAGAAGTAGATCAGTAGCCAGGCTGACCTTTGCCAAACAATCCAGGTCACTTGAACCCCCCTATGACTGCAGGTAATAATTTAAGGCTCAAACCAGTATCTATGGAAGTCAATGACATATTTTCACTGGTCCACAAAAACCTAGTTATGAATTGTGAGACAAGCCTTGTCAGTAAAATCTCAATCCCATGGAAATATAACTAAACAGGGCATGAGCCAAGCCGTAACGCATGTACCTTGGCCAGTAGTCCTTATATCATGCTCCATACTTCTAAGATTAGAATAGATGAAGTACCCATACAGATTCTTTTCTCACTTGTCATCCTAAAATCTACTAAGATTATAGGTAGCAAATGTATATCCCGAGAATTAAACATAACTTAGGTAATAGATCATTATAACTCCTCCAACTCACAATGATGTAATTTATGTCAAAAAGCTATTGAAGACCAACACTGATATTTACGGAGAATTCTGGTGAGGCTCCAGCTGATTCCCTGTACTCTTGAAATACTGGTTTTCTTAAGTGGTTCAGGAAGCACTGCTGCTAGAATACAAATTATCCAGCCACAAACATACCAACAGCCCTTTTATTGTCTATGTTAGTGTCTATAACGGGTTTGGGAGAGCAAAGCAAACATTAAGAAGACCAATTAGATAATGTATCAAGAGCAAAAAAGCAAAACTGCACAGAGATTTGTTTGTATAGTTAAAGAAATGGTAGGCCAAAGACATTTCTTGGAAAGCCTGGAGACAGTCCTAAAATGAGCAGCTCTGTTAGCACAGCAAAGCAGTTCAGCTGATCCAGGAGCCCTGCATAAAACTGAAGAATAAATCAGACCAACTGTAAATAGAAATATTTATGAAAAGTCACATTCAAGGTTTGAACTTGTCAAACTCATTAACTGCTGAGACATTGGTTACCCACTTTACTGACTTACAAAGACAAAAGTTGTGTTTGTAATTAGCCCAAAACCACACAGGAATATTCAACAAAAGCTACTGGAACTGCTACTCAAGATTTTTTCTTTTGACAGTTCACTAGCACTCAAAATCTACCCAACAACAAACACCACACTGCGCTTTCATCCTGTGTAAGTGAAAGGGATCTTCCCACCGGATATTGTCCCTTGTGGCTGTTAATGATGAAAGGCAGAGCTCAGCCTTTCTAGGAACTGCTGCGTACTAGGAATGCTCCAGATGCATGGTCCCAGGCCAATGTCTTAGTAGGCTTCTTGACGTCTAGCTCTTACCTCAGCTGAATCCACCACGCAGTCTGCTTCCGGACTCTGCAAGGATTATCCATTCCCCACGTCCTTTCAATTTGCACAGCCTGGAGGCAGCTCCATTTATAGGGACTGAATGGGCTGAAGACACTGGGTCTCCTTCCCATACAGGACTCCACATTGGTCCACAATTCTGGGCTCAAAATAATTCTTTACAGAAAACGAATCTTGAAAAATGCAGTTTAGAGAAATACTAAGAAATGTGTTTGCTTGTGAAACCATCAACCTGACTACAAATAATTTTGGGAGCATGCTTTTTGAAATTCCAAGTGCATTCAGCAGGTTTGGGAACTGTTGTTTCATTTTATGAGGTCAGAATCTTCTGGTTTTCTTCCATCAGAAAACTCGAAATGAGAAAGACCATAGAAAGGAAACATTAAGAGCACAATAAAGGTATCTGGACATTACCAGCCCTCTGGGAATGTTTAGCTCTGGAACTATTTTTTACCGGATGCATTTTGACAATCCCCACATGCCACAAAACTAATAAAAACTTGAAAAGCCTTTCTCAAAGAGGGTAGAGCAGTATGGTCACTAATATCCAAGTTTGACTGAGACAGCAGCTAAAAAGCATGCTCTTCTCTGCTGAATTTTCATTAATAATCCAAGTTACTTAACCCTGGAAGCCAAACTGCTTTCTATTTGTCACACTCTGTAGTCTCTAAAACACTGTTCATAATATGGCCTGCACTTTTATCTACTTAAGAGTTGACAAGATGCATACCCTGCCAATATCCTACTGAAATCTCACAAAACCAGACTTACGCAAAACTTTAATGTCCTAGATTTCACTGCTCTATTGTACACCGTATTTACCTACCTAACCCTCCAAATTCCATTTTTTAAAAACAAAAACATAACAGCAGTAACTGCCGAAAAGCAGAACAGTTTCAAGTGTGTGTAAATATAAGTCCCTGCCTGGAAGAATGTAAAGACAAAAATGAATAAATGAGGTAAAACTATCTTCTTTGTACTTGACTGACCTATACAGACTTATAGCCTAGCTGCTTCAGCACTAACACTGCAGATCTGTAAATGCATTTTGCTCCTCCAGAACAGCAATAGGTTCAGCTGAAGCTCTTGGTGTAGCTGGGGAAATTATACTCATCTTACCTTCCTTCAAGCAGTCTAAACAAAAATCACTACCATCATTGAGCCTGCAGAAATTCTGTATGTGATGCTGGGTAGTCTGGAAATTAGAAACACCGCAGCAGATGAGATCACTGTGAACTGGACCAAAGGGGATCACTTACAGGTTATTCCTGCCAAATTATCTCTGAACAAAGGAACCAGAAAATGTCTTCACTGCAATCATAACTCTGACAGTTTCTTTAAATCAGTTAGAATGCAAGCATATTTTTTCTTTAATCTCATACCCACACAGTCTATGTTAAGCACGTGCCCAGTGGGAACGCAGTACGAATTTATCTAACTTTCTTTAAAAATAGAATTTTCCCTTGAATACTGTAGTTACCTTCTCAGAAACTGTTAGAATAAATTCATAGATGAATTCTGACTTTGAAAAAATACGATTATATAGACAAATCAGAATTGCAAGTGTAAGGATGGTATTTCATATACATATATCAACTACTTACATTGACTGATGCATCCCCACAGTCCTTCCTCAGAGGCCTTCAAAGGGAACATGTTTTGTGACTAACACACTGGGCTGAATGAGGGTCAGGGATCTTGTCCAGCTCACAGGTCTGACAAGTTTCTGCTTACTTTAGGCACACTATTACCTTTCATTCTCTCTTGTAGTATGACAGACATCACCAGGGAGCACAGCCATACCCACTGCACTTCCTCAATCAGAAGTGAATCAGTCAAACCTTCTAAGTACTCAAGCACTATTTACCAAGAAATCTGTTTTGTTCTAGTAGGAATCAGCAGGCTCGATATTACACAGGATTGAAGATGGCTGCCCACCCCTGGCAGCGTTCAAGGCCAGGCTGGACAGGGCTTTCAGCAACCTGCTCTATCGGGAGGTGACCCTGCCTGTGGTAGGGGGTTGGAACCGGATGAACTTTAAAGTCCCTTCTGACCCAAACCAGGCTATGATTTAAACTGATGCACTACGGCTGGTGGCTGCCCGAGCTTTCTGCGTGTTTTATGCCATCTCATCCTCTAAACACAGCCGCAGCCCACTGCTCTGCGCTTTGTTTGTGATCCCCCCGCTCAGCGGCTGCAGGGGAGAACCTTCCCTTAAAGCCTCTCCACAGACACTGACCAGGGCTGTGAGGCGCCGTGCCACGGCGCACGCACTCTCACGCCTGACCGGACCCACACACGCGCGTCGCCAGGGGGCGCGCCGCAGCACAACGGGACCGCGCGGGGAGCCCAGCGGGGGACGTCGTGCTGAACCATACAGAACCCGAGCGCAGACCCCGCAGACCCCGTTCGCTGTCGGCGAGGGTGAAGTGCTTCCGAAAAACTGCTTCTGTTTTTGTAAAGAAACAACGCGGGCGACTGAGTCTTGCCACTGCAAGCTCACTGCTGCATTATAAACTACACAGCATGTGTGTGCTGCTCTCCCGCTTAGGAGATCACAGTGTGACCCCGTAAAGGGTGGTAAGCACACAATGTGTTACAACTAGGACATGGTGTCCCTGTACAGGGCAGAGGGGTTAGGACTAGGTAACGCACAAGGTCCCTTCAACCCCAAACTGTTGTGGGTGGCTGTTTTTCACATTGGTAAACTCCATGCAAGGAAAAAACAGGTTTTGGAAACAATACCAAGCTTACAGAGTAGCAGAATAGATACAGATTCATTTTCTTTTCCAGAAGGACACAAGGTGAAACAACAGCACTGGACTGAAACAATAGGCTTGAACATTCAAATCACAATGGGTATCTAAAGAAGAAGATCTAGCTTCACACCTGCCTCTACAAAAAGCAGAAGCCATGCATTAGCGCATGCTTTTACAGAGACAGATAAAAAGTTTAAGACCTCGTACAGAAACAGATGCCTCCCTCTAGTGGATTCTCTTTTGTGACCATGTTTTATGTGGGAAAATTGCTTTATGTAGTTGAGTAAAACCTAAGCAACTAAAGCACAATATTCTGAGTTCAGCAACTCAAATTTATGCAGGTAGAGTTGTTAGTGTGCCACATCTGCAAGATTTGTCAATGAATCTGTGCTATAAAGACATGCATTAAGAGGCACAAGCTCAGACCTTGTAGCCAGAGTAGCATCTGTTACAAAGAGTTCAGGGTAGGAGAACCACAGTTACTATTCATTTTCCTTTCAATGCTTTGTCTTACCTTTATTAAAGGTGTTACAGAACAATAGTCACAGCATGCCAGTCTGCTAGCAAAGGTGAATTAACAGTGGTAGAGAAAAGAGGGTATAAGCACGTTGTTCACAAAGTAATTTTTTAAGTTGTTGGAACAGTGATGCTGATTTCAGAAGAGTGAGAGAAACTGCCTCTGGAGGACACCAAAAAATCATTTCTTCTGCAAGTGATCAAGTTTTACCATCAAACTCTTGAACACTGTTTGGAAAATTTGGTTATCACTGGCACTCCAGGAGCTTTCTTTTTTTGGACAGCTGTACACATAGGGTGCCACAGCATACAGAAAAATCAGGAGATCTTTTACAAAGATTAGAGCGCTTTCTTTTTCACAGTAGCATTGGATAACAGTCTTTATCTTGCTCACATGCATCAAATGATGCAACCTGAACAATCTACAGCTGTTACACATTCTAGTTTCCAGCTCACAGAAGAATTAGTCCAAAGATACAGGAGTTACTTGGCTTCAGAGAACTTTACACAGTGAAGCACATGTTACTAGGTCTGCACTTTAAAAATAGAGTGAAGAAGGTTTACTCATCCATCATACCTTTTATTTTCCATTATCAGTATGTGATCATCTTTAAGGAAGTGAGGGATAAGAACTGGGGAACATTATCAGCTGCACTTTACAGAATAACAGCCACAATAATAGTAAGCAACTATACCATCTCTAGGTTTCACAAAACTAGTTTTCATTTGTAATATTTGACGCAACAAGATTAACTGCAACAAGTAACACTACATCTGTAAAGTGCGATTTTTGTTAAAAGTGGCTAAAAAAGCACAACTACAACAGATCTGGGTGTTTGGTGGCTAGATTGTCGATCCCCTCCAAATCTTTCATTTCAGGCTCTGTGTTTTTTGATGAAATTGATGAGCCCATTTGTTGAGCTATCATGAGATGTCACAGGAGCATCTGACTCCAGTTCAGGTTCAATTTTCTTGGCAAGTTGTTTTCCAAGCTCAACTCTGCATTTACAAAAACAGAAGAAGAAAGAACATCATCATTAGTGCTAACAGCCTGCAGTGTTTACTGTAAGATATTGACATTAAAAATAGGTGCCAGCAGAAAGTAACTTGAGAGTGAACACTGTGATCAAACTTAATACTATTCAACTGGGTGCCATTCATGAACAGCTGGAGTTCTCACAGCTGCTTAGCTGAACAGACAGCTCTCAAATTACAGGATGTCTGAAGAGAGAGTTCTCCTGTAAGAGTTAAGCAGTCTTTTCCCCTTCAGTACTCAGTTGCGTTATGCAGCCTGCCTCAATGCAGAATGCATTCAGCTTCCTACTGTTCACTGTTGAACCTGTCATCACTCAAAACACTCATTTGCAGCACCAAGACAATAAACAACAGCTGAGTTGCAGGCCTAGAAGCCTTCCCCAACTTACAGCATGCTGTCCAACAGTTACAGCCACAAAGACTAAGGACCTAGGATATTCAAACAGCTGCAAGAAACTATGCTGGTTCTACAGTTTCCCCACATTGCATAGTTTTGGATGCCATTCTGGATTTCGATGTGTTATAGTAAAAGCTGTAGTTACTCCTATCCCACACCTGATCTCAGTTTGTAGCATCAGCTATAGATGTCTATAGACATCAGCTTTTATTAGTCAGTCTTTCATTTACACTTTCTACTGCAATGTTTTAGTTAAAGAACTTGCTATGGTAGCATAGCTCTAAAAATATATACAAAAAGCAATCCTTCAGCCTTTAAGACAGCTTAGTGTAAACAGCTATTCTAGGCCTGCAGAACAAACTTGCTCTTCAAAATACCCCAACAGCATAAAACTAGGTTCCACCTGAAAAATCTCATTTCCCAATCCCTTTCTCCTGCCAAGTGTTCATGCAGTATGTTGTACAGTTTACACTGTTACAGATTAAAAACAATCTGATTAGCTCCTGATTATGTCTTCTATTTTTAAGACTGACAAACTCCTCATAAATCTGCTGCTCTCCACATGGAACTCTACCATGAACCTTGGCCACAGGTGCAGTCTGACCTAGGGTTCCTGTATATGAAGACATCTGCCAAGAACAGTCTTTTATCTCCAGTATAGGAGAATTAAGAGGCAGTGAGTCTTTTACTTAACAGATGCCATTCAAACTGCTTACTAAATGTTTCTAGAAGCAATTCTTTTTTTTTCGTTCTATAAGGGAAATTATTTTCCCTTTCCAATTCTCAGAGCATGTGTTCTGCTTGCTTGGCTATTTTACTCATTATTACTGCCTCTTTTCTGCATTCATAGTATTTTCTTAATCAAAGAAAAAAAAGGTCCTTAGTTAAAGTTGTATCTACAAAATGATTATGAATGGCTGACCAAGGATACATGGTGACTTATCCACTGCAAATTTGTTTAATTTAAAAACTTTCATAATCAGTAAAACATTTACTTTTAATTGTCTTTTCTCCAAGTCATGACAGATTAAGGAATACCACAGTACAAGAAACATATCAAGGATACTTACCCCCACTGGTCGTAACTGTTAATATCCCAGATAATTCCTTGAACAAATATCTTGTGCTCATACATGGCTATAAGCAGAAAAAGATTTATCAATTAATTTTACCAGAAAGTCTTAATAAGCATTCACAGAAGGATCTATTTACTTACCAATGATGGCTCCCAGAGTGAATGGGTTGAGTTTTGTAAACATGATTGAATTGGTTGGTCGATTTCCCTCAAAGACCTTTCAAAACAAGAATTACATTGTTAGCTACTATTTTCTATAACTTATATCAGAAACTTCAACTTTGTATTTTCCTTACAGCCCACATGGCACCAACTGTATTAGCAGCAAAAACAAAATCCTGAAAGCTTTAAAGGCTAACAGTTTCAATCATAAAATTGTATCATTTTCATGTTTTATTAAAAACAATGCCAAAATGTTATCTCCAAGCACTATTACTGACTACTATGGTCTACAGGAAGTAAAATACAAGTCATTATCCTACAGCCAATGATTAGATCTTTTCTGACAAACTTCAACTCAAACTTCACAGCTGTCAAGACAGTAGCACTTGACAGCCACCGGAGGGCACTGCCCCATTAGCAAACTCCATAGAGCATCAGACCCCCCAGAGCGCCCTCACCACCACAGCAGCTAGTCAGAGGAAAGTTGTCAAATGCCAAAGCCTGGTTACCTTATGGGGAAGGAGCTTCTCCAGAGCATCTCCACTCAGTCCTGCTGCTTGAAGTTCCTTACGAGCTTCATCAGCAGTCTTTCCTTTCATCAAGGCTTCAGTCTGAGCAAGGAAGTTGGCCAAAAGGATCTAACAAGTAGAAATAAAAACATCAACTCAAGCTACCATTTCCTTAGCTGGAAAAAGATATCTAGGGCTTGAACCTAGACCAAGACCTTGATTATAGTTACAGCACTTGTTTTTAACCCTATAGCAGCAAGATGTGCAATACTTATAACTGCATAATGCCTGCTATTGCTTTTTTACCTTGGAGTGCCAGGTGACTTGATTACTGTCTTAACAGTGCATGTATCCATAGACAACCAGGAGTGTTTTGCAGAGTCCTGCCCCTAATGAGACTGACAAACGGTGAGAAAAAAGGAGCCATGATTTCACACAGCTCTTTCACCCAGCATAGTCTATACTTTGTCACATGCTACACCATGGCTGTAGATTCAGCTGGGTAGGGTGCTGAGTCATTAATCTAGATCATGCTTTATCAGCATTGGACCAGATGATCATTGAGGTCCCTTCCAAGCAGGGATTCTGTAATATGCATCGAATGCCAGGTGCAACAATTAGTCAAAGGAAACCAGCTAAGACATACTTACTCTGTATGAAGGAAAACCACCACAGCATACCATATACCAATCCCTACCGATTAAGATTTTAGTCTCCTATTCCTTGCCTAATGTTAGCATGCAAATTCATATGCACTTTCATTGTACTCATTACATTGAGCATAAACACTATATCTACAGTTGAATTAAACCTTTTCTCCCCTTCTTTTGCAAAGCTATGTTTTTCTAAAACTTTTGCCTGGACTTGGTATTGCTTGACAAGAAGTACAATAACAGAGTTTTATAGAATTTGAATTCTGACATCATGAAAAGATTGAAATTTAGCGAGGAAACATGCTTTTTCTGAAGCATGCACTCAGTAGTAGACCTGGACATGTTTCCACCTACAAAACTTAAAATTGTTCAGCAGTTCACTGCAAATGTTCAGTTGCATGATACAGTAAACTAAAATTGGGCTTGTTAAAAAAATATCTGTATCTAGAAGGCTTTCACCCTAGCTATGTTAATATACTCACTAAATTCTGTCCTGAAACAAGATCTGAAAACCTCCTCAGAGATGCTGCTGCATCACCTCCTGAGAATTTACTTCTACTCTGCAAGAATTCCATTCCTTACAACTGGAATCATAGAATAGTTAGGGTTGGAGAGGACCTTAAGATCATCAAGTTCCAGCCCCTCTGCCACGGGCAGGGACACCTCACACTAAAAAATTCCTACAAGGAGTTTTCTCTCCAAATACTTAATTGGTCAACTCTTTCCAGCCTCCTTAGGCCATCAGACCACACCACTGATCTGCCTCAAGAACTGTGGCTGCAGTTTCAAAAACAAAACTACAACTCTATTACATAAAACATGTAATTATAATTAAGATCTTTTCAACCCTATTATGAAAGTTCACAGAGCATATGTGTAGAGTTTCAAAAAGACATTTAGAAATCTTGCACACTGCAATAACTAAGCTCCAGTGCCTTCAGCTACAGTAATACGGGTGCCCTGACAAAAAACTTATTACCTTGTGATGCAAGCCATTTCTGATTGGATGCTGGGTCTGGACTGGGATCAGGAAGTCGCAAGGAATCATGCGAGTTCCTGTAAGAAAAGGCACATTAATAACCCTGCAACATGAATGACTTAGAAAAAAAAAAATCAACTCTCACAGCTAAGACTCAGCCATGTAAAAAGCTTTTTAAACAAAGCTTTTTGATTAACAGCAGGGGGAAGTGACAGTACAGCTTTTGTAGCTTTATCTTTAGTTCACCATCCTTATTGTAGGGTGAAAACCTGCATCTAAAGCCACTAATGAATAACACCATAGCAATGTGATGCTAAGGAATATAAGAGTCCAACCTTTGAAACAGTGTAAAACCTGCAGACTCTTCCAGCTTTGTAGTTATTCAGAATTGAATTCTAAACTAAGGTAGTGAATAGTTTTATTTTACCTTGATGAATGAGCTGGTAAAAAGCATGCTGCCCATTGGTGCCAGGCTCTCCCCACACAATAGGGCCAGTATTGTAATCCACTCGAGAGCCTTTCTTGGTAATGTATTTGCCATTAGATTCCATATCACCCTAAAAGAAGGGAAGGGCTGTATTACCATTCTTGCAGAACCACACAGTATCAGAACAAGTTTCCATACATGCTTCAATTACAGTAAGTGTTGACTATTTATGGATACTTTGTAAAAATCAGGAATAGAGCTGCTTAATGGACATCAAGATATTGGATGGGGGGGGGTAAAATCTAAGTTAACTGAGTAAATAAGCCTGTACCAAATCATGGCACCAGTCTTCCTTAAGCCCTTGCTAACATAGTGATTCCAATTTTAACCTAGAAACATGCATTCAGGCTCTAGAACCAGGATGGAAGCACATCTACATACTTGCTTCTTGAAACTTACTCTGTCTGAGCCTTACCTGCTGGAAGTAGGCAGCAAAGCGGTGCATGTATTGGTCATAGGGCAGAAGGGCATGGGTTTCACATCCATAGCAGTTTATATACCAGATCCCCAGCATGGCCAACAGAACAGGCATGTTTTTCTCCAGCGGAGCCGTGTGGAAGTGATTATCCTATGTGACACAAAGGAAAATTACACTTTTGATAAAGCAACTGTCATTCCCCACAACTCTGAAATTATTTTTATTGTTTTCTGATCCAGGGAGAACTCCCCAAGCACAGACATTTTAAAGGCATTGAGAGGACAGAAGAAGCTGAATTTCAGAAACCAACCTGCCTTCAGTTATCTTACTAACATCTCTTAAGAGAAACATCTGAAATAGGCATCACATACTCACCATCCAGTGGGCTCCTGAAAGCAGGCTCTCAAAGTTGTCAAACCCTAAATGGAAAAAGTCAGTTTGAATTTACTACTACAACTCAAACTTTATTTTCCTTGTAGAGAAAATTGTAAACCAGTTAAAATTCCTTGTGTGCAGCAAGGCTCCCAACTATTACTGGAGTTTAAGGCTGCACTTTGACTTCTGAAATCTGCATCCTGTAATTCCATATGCTGTTATGACTGAAGCTTCAGAGCAAGTCCCAACTTCATGAAGCATACTTCAAAAACCTTTGCCTAAAATCCCCATTCAGACAGAATGGACAAGTAGAAGGAAAACAGAGCCATGTATTAAAGGCTACACAGTCTTCAGCAAGTTTGAACACTTAACTTCACAGCCACAGTGGGAAAGACATGTACTCCCCCGAAAAAGAGGGCAAGGCTAGTACAGCAGGGATTTCAGTGTTGGTCTGAGGAAAAAAGAATATGGTTTTCTCAAAAAAAGGTTACCCTTCTTAATTAGTGTATTTAAATCAATATTGATTTCCACTAATAAGCAGTTTAACACCACCCTTTCCTGCAAAGCCAGGTATCCTGATTTTCATATGGAGATGAAGTGCTTAGCAATCAAAGCAGCAGCTCTACCTATGGTCAGAAGCCAGCTTTGGGAGATGAAGGATTTAAGAGTAAGAAGTGCCAACAGACTGGCTTGTCAGCCATCAGCACCAAATCTGTCTGACAGCAGAGATGAACAGTTTATTACAGACAAAACAGTAAGTGCCTGAATGAAGTTTATTTTGCTGTTCTGAAAGTTTTTCTACACATGACAACTCCTAATCATGTAATTCCAAAGCCACCAAAACCAATGTTTTTTTTTAAGGTAATTCTGGCTTTTATCTAGAGAAATACATGACATGGCTTCAGACTTTTAGGTATCTGAAAGAACTGATGAGGAAAAACGCAAGGCTGCTAAACAACCTGCTCACCATCCAACAGCAGAGTTCTTTGAGCTCTTTCATATTATCTTTGCTCTCCCCCTATATTTGAGATCTGGATCAGAAATGCCTATGCTACAATACTAGTAGGTGGGAATTTGTTTCAAGGGTCTGCTCCATGATCAACTGCAGACAGAAACAGCACTCCTGTATCATCAGGCCCTATAGCCTAGAAGAACGAGTACTGGGGACAAAAGAAAGTAATGGGAGAAGCCAGTTAACAACGATAAACAGAGCTCATATGCAGAACTGGAGACAGAGCTTTGATGTTTAGTATGCATGTACTTACAGAAACTACTCAAATAGTTTAGGAACATCAGTTGCAAGGTCTGATTTTCAACACTGACATGGCTTTACATGTAACAGGCAGTTTTGGCTACCCAAGTGACTCAGGAGATGCAATTTGTCCATTTGTACTTAAGTATGGATAACTTCCAAAACTGCATTTACAGTAGTAAAAATCTCAACATTGCCATTGCATTGGATTTTCTTCATACAGCCAACCACTCAGAGTAGGTTGGGTAAAATAATATTTGCATCAAATCTGATCCACAAGACACTATCATTAATGTATTCTATAGTTATATTTCTGAAGCAAAAACCATCATAAGAATACCTACCAATATGCAGGGCAATGGAGAGACCAATGGCAGACCACAGAGAATAGCGGCCACCGACCCACTGAAAACGAGAGACCGGTTTAGACAGGAGAAGTGCAAGGCTTTTAAATTCAAACTTTCTCAAGCTATGAGGGAACAGCAGTGTGTGCTTAGACTATTTTCAGCAAAAACAGCATTTCTGGTGATAATTCACTGCATATTATATGGTATGGTCAAGGGAACCTACACTTCACAATAGCTCCCTAATGAATCCTTACATATGCAATTTTTTGGACTTTAAATTTATCCTACTCATCCAATTTGAGTCACATCTATTGAAGATCCCTTGATTATTCCAATTCACTTCCTAATACTAAAATTTCACCTTGTATTAACTGCTTTCCTAATGTCACCCCTCTACAGGTAAAGTCTGCTTCAGCAGGATTTTGACACTACCTAGGAAAAGGTAAGGCTCTACACACATTTTTAAACAGAAGTTTTAGAAATCTAGTTTGTCAGGTACATAGTCAATGAGGCATAAACCAACCTGTTTCTAATTAAGTATAAGGGCCAAGACAAGGGCAATATACTTAAAAATATGCATCTGCTACAAAATATCAAATTAGTCTCCCATTTCTGATGTTTGACATTTACAAGCCTAGATTATATACAGTAGACCCCCACAATCAAATGTCACAGCTTATAATAACTACTTACACAGAGGAATAACCTAAGACTTGTATCTCCTGTTACCCAACAGCTGATTAGATAGCCAAGAATACAGAAGACTTCTCTTCAGACCTTTGACTACAGGATTTTAATGGAATGGGCAAGAGACAAGTCTGTTTTGCTTGCTGGCAGGTACTCAGTTTAGCTGCAAGTTGCAGATGTTTCAGTACAGAGTACAACTACTATAATTTCAGTGTTTTGGCAGTTTCCTGACATTAGTTAGCATTTTCTGAAGCAAGTTAGATTATTCTAACAGTTAACATCTACTACACAACATTAGACATTTACTTACATCCCAAAACTCAAACATGTTCTCTGGGTCAATTCCAAAGCCTTTAACTTTAGGCTAGAATAAAAAAAGTAAATAAATAAATAAACAAACCCAACAACAACAACAAAGATTAAGAACACTGTACATAAAACCACAATCTTTAAAAGCTTTACAACTAGCAAATAAAACCCATAAGTTGGATACCTATTAAATACGCAATTTCCCAATTACATCCTTGATTTGAAAAATACAAAGCATCCATCAGAAAAGAAGTGTACCTTCCCCTTTCAGAGATCACTATCACTCTTCAGCAATCTCAAATAAAAATTGGGGACATACACATTTTCTAATCAAAATGGCAACAGTTAGGAGTTGAACTGACATTCAGTTTACATTTAACAGAACCAGAATGGAAGAAAGGAATTTCACACCACAGTGACAGCCTTTCAGTTACTGCACAGCCTAATAGCTTTTGGTCTTTTTACTTTATCCTTTTGCATGAAACACCACATCAAGGTACATTATGCTCATCATATGCTACAAATTGTTCACACAAACTACCTGCATCACTTCAGCACTTGAGAAGTCTAGGAGAGTAATATTTACATAACTGCGTTCATACAAATGTAAGCAATTACAGGTAACATTAATAACAGGACAGTCATTTCAAGTATAAGAGATCTGACTTCAGACTTAAAACTCTAGCAGAAAAAGCACAAGTCTACAAAAAAGGTCCAGTCCTGATAAGAGTTCATTACCCTAGAAGTGCTGCACTTTTTTAACAGAACAAAAAATTATGCTTCCTTCAGGAGGAAGGCTAACTTTTGGTATTCAAGTAATGGTGTCTTAAAAGGTAGGCTTCCTTATTGGATTTTAAAATGAGGCCATCTTAAAGGTACATAGAAAAAAAAATTTGTTATACTTACAGCATTGGTAGACAAGGCAACAAAATGCTTGGCCACAGCTGAAGGCTTGACAAAAACACACACAGTGTTAGATCTAGAATGCTAATTATTTTGAGTTCCATTCATAAAGCTGATCTGCTACCATTTAAACAAAATGCTGTTGACTATCAAAAAGTGCAAATAATTTTTGCATTATATTGACTTTCTTATTCACATTCAGTGTGGGATTTGGCAGCATACCTGCCTGAAGATAACATTCTGATAACATTCTGACGAAGCCCTCTGGAAGCAGTCACTAATTAGAACAGCACACCGTTTCCTTAAGAGTATGTTATCAGTCTGGAACATCACTACCACCACTTAGGAGCACATGGAGTTTGTTGTACATGCACTACCCTTCCAACTAGGGTCAAAAGGTCAAGACAAGTGATATTACTGATAAATCTCAAGCTCCAAATTTAGACTTTGGTCTTTCATTAAGTATTGGGGTAGACAAAGATGAATTGTCTGCAGTAGTAGTGTAGTATAGAGTTTTGAAGCCCAGCTTTCAAACTATGTACAGCTACCCTGACTGAACATGTTGAAGACCATCTTGATTACCTGAGCAGGCACACTCTCCTTTTTTCTCTTAACAGTTAGAAACAGCAGAGAATCAACCAGACACAAGGTTTCTATTCATAGCACAGCCATCTGCCACTGAAATGTCAGTATATCACTCCAACTGTTAACTTCATTTCAACTTTTTAAATATTTGCCAAGAATTGGAAGGCAATGCCACACAGACGCCATATTCTTGGCTTCTCGTTATCAGTGGTTCCACTAAATTATTAGCCAGCTCTGAGCCGAATGCAACACTATTACTTAACAGGCAGGATTTGGGGGAACAATGCACAACAACCATTTATAATGAAAAACTAATCTTCACTTTGATCAGATATACAGTCTGTCACTAACCATGAAACACTGACATTATATATATTAAATTTTATATTATATATATTATATATATACACACATACAGTATTTGCTGAGCTATACATCTTATGTCTGGGCAGCTATTGGCTCTGCTCCAAAGAACACAGGATGACCAGGGAGAAACTGCACAAGAAAAAGCTATTGCATTCCATTATGCAACCTAAACGTATTAGACTTACATCATTAGCAGCATGTAAGAACCACTCTTTGGCTGTTTCTGCATTGGTGATAGTTTCTTGGGTGGTGAAAGTCTGCCCATCAGGAAACAAAGAAGTATGTAAAACACTGTACTTAAAACTGAGAACAGTTCAGGCTACTAAAACATTGTATGTTCCAATAATCAGAGCAGAGCAACTGTAGATATTCATAATAGATACCTGCTGTCACATTTCAGCAAAAAAGCAAGCTTATCAGTCCAAAATGTGCCATTTTGCCAGGCTGTGACATGTGCCTATCTAGTTTTAAACTAACATATATCTGAAATCAGAATAGTTGTTATTCCCCATTTCCTATCTTCCCTATCCCAAACTGCTATGCAAAACTTTGAGACTAAATTATCTAGTCTTTCACTAAATGCAAAGTTTTACCATTCAACTAAAAAGGAACTAATTAAGCATCAAAACAGGATAACCTAGATTGATTGTTATCTTGTTCTTCAATTTCTACTTTTTCATGTAGGAGCACTCATTTCTCCCAAGACTCCTGCATTTAATTTTGTTTTGCTGATTAGAGGAAAACATTTTGTTGCTTCATGAAGTGTGCACAGAAGTTCAGTCATGCAGTTTTGCAAATATCTACAACCATTCTGATTTACTCACCCATCAAAATTTAGCTGTAAGGGTGAACACCAGACTGAACTTACTCTCATCCATCTCAGAAGTATTTCATTATGAAACACAAGCCTTTTATGGGAAACAAAAAAGTGCCATTCATTCGCTTCCAAATATATCCAATTATCTAACTACAGTTTGGCAAACAGAAATAGAAGTGTTACTCTTTCAATTTGGCAGTCTTCTAAACCTTTGAACCGTGGTTGTTCATCTCAATTATTCAAAGTGGCCATGCGCATTAGTTTGTGAAGTTTCTTTATTATTCCATAAGTTGTTGCTTGGCTGCAGTATTGCAAAAATAAGATAATGAGCACCACAGTAGAGCATGGCCAGTATTACACACACTCATTTGTTACAGATTGTCTTCAACAGCAAAAAGGTTCTACTGTGCGTTACAAATGTAGGCAACCCAAGTTACATAACTGTGAGTCTTCATAAGTTTCCTCTGCTGACAGAAGCATTCCTCAATGCAAGATGGCAGAGCACTTGTGTTTATAGAATAGTTAATAGCAAAGCAAGACTTGAAGGCCTGTAGTCTGTATTCAGAAATAAGTGGCATCTTTGCCACTTTGTAAACAAAGAAGATTATTATATATATAGTGCTCAAGGGCTCATTTATTTAGGTGTAGACATACTGTTACTACCCTAAAACAGAATGAAGATTTCCAAACTGCATACAATTAATGCAAAAAACATTAATGCAGAACCAGAACACTGTTAAGAAGTTACACTGCACTTAAGAAAAAGAACCAGAAGTAACCTTAAGAGTAAGGAATAAGGCAAAAAATCCTGAATTCAAAAAAATAACCACACAGGATCTGACACTCCACACAGTAAAATAAAGCATTGTGAATAAAGCTGAAAACTTGTGTTGACTGAGAAACACATGTTTCTAGACAATACAAAACTGTTTATAGTCTCTCTTGTAGGATAAGTAATTTTCAGCACTTGACTTCTGGATTCACAAGTATTTCAGTAGCAACACAAGACTGCACTGCAACTTCAGGATGAATCACAACAGACCTGTTTAGAAATAGTCCCTGATCTAGATCTTCCTGTGTACACATTTCTGTTCTGACTGAATCCTTTACAGTTACAGAAAGGCATACTCCAGTGCTTGTAAGAGACATACCTTTGACGCAATGATGAAGAGCGTAGTGTCTGGCTTAAGCTCAGCCAGGGTTTTGGCTATATGAGTACCATCAATGTTGGATACAAACCAAACACGAGGACCTCCCTTGGAATATGGTTTCAGAGCTTCAGTTACCATCAGAGGGCCCTGGATAGAAGCAACAAAATTTTATCTTAACTGCAAGCATACACATACATTTTATCTTAACTGCAAGCGGAAGATATATAGAAGTCATCTTACCAAGTCAGAGCCACCAATCCCAATATTGACGACATCAGTGATTGCCTTTCCAGTGTAGCCTTTCCATTCACCACTACGGACTCGCTGTGAGAAACAAAGAATATTGCCATGACTCTTTTACACCTAAAGTTAGTGATTCTAACACTGAAAATGCTGGTTTCAGGCACTGCTGCAGAAAGTCTCTGAAGACAACTTTCAAGCTTCTAGACTTTAAAGCCTACACACAAAGCTACCTTCTTAACTCAAGATTTAGTTATAGCCAACATAACCCTTCATTAAGGGTTAGAAGTCTAATGCACGTATTTAAAAGCACACTGTAGTATCAAACTCCTCTGTAGGGGCTGCTATAGCAATTACAGTATTGACAAAGGCAAAAGAAATAAAGCTAAAAATGAAAAGTATTGGGCATTGAACTATTTGCAACAAATATCAGAACCGGAAGGGGTTAAGTGTCTTTAGAAGCAATTTGGCTAACTAAACTGGAAAACATTAAAATAACGAATAGAGCCACGCAGATAGCAATTTACTGGCAAACCAAATATTCAAAAAGCTTTTCTAATGCATGTATGTTTACATTAAGATTTATTTCTGGGCAGGTTTCTGCTCTATTGTTGTCATTTTAATAGTTACTGTGAGTTCTGACAAACAAAATTACAATCATTAAGTAATTATCAAAAAACTGCACTGGATTTTGCCCATCAGGTACCACCCTACACATTAAATTTGTTCAATCACAAAATTAATCTTCCTAGTATCATGCACACTTCAACATACATTCCCCCATTCTAAATCAATTCCTCTACAACAAATCACCTGGTTATGCTGATAGCTGCTCTCCTCCACCAATGTTTAAGTTAAATCTTAAAGAAAATCCATTTTTAATATATACCATTTCTGTAGCCTGTAGATCATATTTTAACATTCCATCTGCTTGAGTTGACTGTAACAAGCATCTTTTGTTAATCTTTCCAAATGACCTGCTTAATGTTACTTTTATTTTACAGAAGAGATACATCTGCATGGAAAGTGATATTTACCACCAAAATCTTAATTAGTGAAAACAACTATACAGTGGAAAAGACGTCACTGAATTTCTGTAGCCAATTCAGTTCTTGCATTATCTGAAGAAAATACCAAATTCAGACCAATTAGCCTCAGTTAATAATAAATGCGGTTTTGGCATTTATTCATTAGGAGCTGAACACAGTACAGGCTCATTCTGTATACATTAACAAGTATGAGTTGGCAGCAATACCAGCCACTACCACCTGGATAAGACTCAATCAACCAAGTTCGTTCCTCAGAGCCATGTTTAAAATGCACTAAAACTACCCAGTGAACTTTTACTGATTAATCACATAAATTTGACTTCTTTAGAGTACCAAGTTCTTCAGAGCATTTCCTTAACTGATCTGACAACACACCTACATTTTAAAAATGTACAGCATCAAAAAAAAAACCAAAACCAATTAATGATATTTGAAGATAATGCTTAACTGCTGTATTTAATTAGGGAATAACAAAAATTTCACACCACTAAAGTTGTAACAGAATAGAATCATAATGGAATCTGACATAAAAACAGTCTAAGAAACTATTTAAGCAGAGTGTAATCAAATTGCAAGTGACTGGGCAACTCCTACCTCTCTGATTTTACAAAAATTGATAGAGTAGTTTCTACTCGGCAGAGACAAGTAACTGAAAAATTAGCAAGAAGAAAGGCAATATCTGAATGGTACTAAATGCCTCAAGTCTTCTGAAGTAAGTGCAAGATTACTGTGAAAACAGCAAGATCTAGAGAGCCTATTAAGCAAAAAAAAAACCAACCAAAACCCTCAAAAGCAAAACAAAAAACAAACAAAAAAAAGAACAACAAACAAACAAAAATCCCAAAACCCAGAAAAACCCAAACTGGGCACAGAGAAAACAGAGCAAATCATACTAATCCCAGCTCTAACTCCATGCTTGAGCCAGAACTGTTACTAACATCAAAACAAGGGCACAGTAACTCATGTGAAGCCGCCCACAATCACTGCTTCACAACACACATAAGAACTGGGCTAGGTATAGAATAATTATATGAGAAGTAAACTATGGTAGTATTTTATACCTGGCAGAAGTGCTTCATTTTGTCCAACACTTTGTTTACTACTGGAACAACATCCTTCCCATCTACAAGTATTGGCACATTGGAACGATTTCTCAGAGCAATATGAAGCACAGCTCGGTTCTGAAACAAAAAGGGAAAAAATTCATGAAGCTATTTCCTAATCATACCCAGGGGTCTCAGATACTGCATCAAGGAGGCAGTATGACCTTCACAGCTTAAAATTTCTTTAGATTCACTGGAATTAGTAAAGCAGTAGTATGTGCATGTATGTGTATAATACACACTCATCACCAGCTATCTAAATCACCCTCTCACTTCACAGAATCACTGCAGAGGGCTTACCAAAACACAATATGCAAAGTAAACAAATAGCTTATTTGTTTATATTGATAAGAAAGCTCAAGATCCCTTGAAAAGCAATTAATAACTGAGGGTCAGAATTCACCAATAATCAGTACTCAGTGACCTTAATTCTTTGGCATGCTTCAGGTATACGAGAATGAAGTTGATCCTTATCAATGACAACACTGAAAATCAATTCTAACAAGCAGCCAAAGTTCTCTGGCATTTTCTCAATTACCCCGAGTAATATATTTCATATAGGAAGAGACACATACTTATGGATTTGACAAAACAGAATACAGTAGCCCTATTATTCTGTCCATTGCTCACAATTAAATTTTCTCTGAATACTGACACACCAGCTATATTGGTGGTAGTTGTGTTGGGAAAAAAGTGCCAGTATGCACCATTTTATGTTAATTCTCTAGTTATACGTAAGTCAAAGCATCGAAATCTGGCCTGTGATTCACCTGAACTGGAACAGCTTGAATCTAGGATGAAGGAGCTAGTCAATACTAATGAACAAATTTAAAAATTAGTCTGTTCTACCTCATTGTTCCCTGATACAGCGAGAGGCATTGTGAGACAAAGACAACACAAACAATATGAACTGCCAAGTCATGATTTAAATACCAAATGCTAATTCAAAAATCATTGAGTCTGACTTGGAATATGAAAAAGCTCTTTCAGCTACTAATTATGAAAGGGTACCCACTGGTATTTGTAGCAAACAGAGGAAGGTTTTCCTGCAACTCAGCCATGGAATGGTATTTGATAAATCCTGCTCACTAACCAGCTTGAGGGAAGTGCTGTCTTCGAGAAGCAGTCATATTTGACCTGATGTCTACTGTTAAATGGAAGTATTTTCTAAATATCAGATGGACTGAGAAACCTGTCCCCATAATGAGGGGTTAGATGAGATACCCTGCAATGCACTGTCTTTGTGCCTTACCAAGCTGCAAGTTTTAACTCATCTGGGACAAACACCCGGCAATGACACACCTGGATGCACTTTAAAGAATTTCCACATAAGCAAATACCATGCAGCCAATGCCTGCAGCACCAAATACAGACAAGTCTTAAAATATTTGAGACAAATAGCTAAAAACATTCTAAAACAGAACAAGAGTAGTAGACAATTCAGTTCTTGTCATTAAGGAGCTCCCTTCTATCATATTGCTTTAGGTTTATTCAGTCATGCTGTTTGAAAGTATCCTGTTTTTAATGTCTCAAGACAAATTTCATGTTGTCCACATGCTCTTATTCCTGAGCCAAAACAATCTGATTTGGTATTCTACACAAACAGAAAAAATTAAGCAAGCCAAATCTAATTCTGAGAAACAGGCCAATACAAAAAAGATGTTTCTAGACTCATCATGCAGGTAACTGCTACATGAAAATTGATGTATCAAGACAGTAGCAAAGCAGAGAATTAGAAGCCAAGTACATGGTTTAATACCACGTGTTTAAGTGGTTTCTGTGAAAATTACATCTTTCTGAGAAGACTTCAGCTGCTACATTTGTTCTCATGTAGACAATGAAGAGTAACTCCGTAATATACGGTCAAAGATGTGCTAACCCTGCAGCAATTTTTACGTGAGGCTAGCGAGACAAAGTATCTGAGGTGACAATTCTCCAGGTAGGTTTAAGACATCACCTTCTTTTCCACTTCCATTTTTCACTAGCTAGAACTGCTAGTGCGAATTGAAAGCATTAACACAGAAAGAACAGGAATCATCTCTCCAGTGAAGCTTTATCTGTCTGTGCATTTTTACAAACATGGAGCATTCTCAAACAATACAACATCCAACTGCCGAGTTATTTTAAGCCAACAGCTTGTGCAACAGCTACATCAGTTAATAACCAAGCCAAAGGAAATAATGATTTCTGTGAGTTTACCTCAAATGTACAAAATAGCCTTTAATTTTTAAGGTAGACTAATAAATCACACTAAAGAGTTTCCAGTTTTTCCTATTTTTCATTTCAGAAGAAAACATATATTTCGTTTTCTATATATTTTGGTGAAGATGTAAATGTAATTTCAACCTTCATATCTACAAAAAGAGCAAGATACTCATCCTCTTACTGAAATAGGTAGCTAATTTCCCCAAGATTCTTTATAGTCTCTAATGTTAAACATACAAAAAGATAAGTAGCACCAACAGCCCAAAGTCTTCTAGAAACCTCAGTCTTCCACAACCCTCACTAAAACTTTGCAGGAAATTTACTAAGCTTTATGATCACTAACATCAGGCAAAAGCATATAAAGGATACCTGCAATGCAATACTCTGCTCTATGCCCACTGCAAGACCTAACTTTTCTTAACTCATAGAAAGTAGGATAAGACAAAATAAAAAAAAAATACCACCAGAATCTATAAAATTAAGATGTGTGGAAGGGAGGATTGAATAGCTGTAGCCATACACATTTTCTTCTGTCTTGGTCAGCGCTGTAAGAATTTCTCATTTAAGTAGTGCAGCAAGCATTACAATCACTCAGCATTTCAAAGACTAAGTTGTTTTCAAGACTTCCTACATAGATGCATGACCATCTGTAATATACAAGCACAACTGAAGAGGAGACCCATGGACAGAAATAGCCTTACCTCTGTGAAGTTGATCTTCTCTCCACTGAACATATGCTCTCTGGCACTTTCCACACCCCTTGACTTAGCCTGGAAAATATAAAAATAGATTCCTCTTAGAAACCGTACGAAGCCAACATGCACTAGGAAGGTCCAGCTACATCAAGTATGAACATTTACCAGAAGATGGTGAAACAAATTACAGTATTAGATTAAAAGACCCACCTGATTCTACCTTAAAACTTTTCTTCTTGTAAAGCAAGCATTATACAGGCGGTTCATTTCCTTGAGAAGTTACAAAATAACATGTGCTGAATAACAGAGATGCAATAAATCCATCTTAATAATTCAGTTTCATGTTGTCATACTACTATACAGTTCAGTGATCTCCTGTACTAGCTTTTATCTTCTCTTTAAAGTGAAGAGGAGGAAAAGTCATTTTGCTATGGCTATTTTTGCTAGGATACATTTTTAAAACAGGAAGCACTACCTGGTCTAAGCCTTTGGCTGCACCAGTAGCCAGGGAAGGGTTGTAAATACAGACAGTAGGCTAAAGTGAAGTTTTATTAATTCAACATTTTAAACAGTTACCAGTTCCATCAGCATTTTCATCACTTCTTCTGTAACAAGGTTCTTTGAATAATCCAGTAAGATATCCCCATGATCAGTATTCACAGTCAGGCTGCCAAAACAAACAGGTTTTTTAATCGCAAATTCCTGGAGAAAAACTGTTTAAAGCAAGACTATGATAACTCCTCTATAGATTATGAAATAATTTGAATCTAATTATACTAAGTTAGTAAAGATAACCTGAGGGACTGATTTGCCCCATGAGTTTCATAAAATGACTTGCTAGTGTACTGTTTTAATTGAAGACTATGGTTTTCAATAAGCTAAATTATAGTGTCCACTTTCTGCTTATGGAAGTTCAAATACAATAAAGTACATTTAATGAATAGCTGGACATTCCCGTTCTATTTTCACTATGCCATTAGCACTCTCTAGCAATAATTAGCTTTTTTCCTAATATATCATAGGTAAAAAGCTTACCACATTCTTTTGCTGGTAAAAAATTAAACTTTCTACAGGTCCTTTCTACAGGTCCTTGACTACACAGTCATTATTTTATACGGTAACTTGAACAAGCATGATTTAAAAACCTATACAACTTCATGTACAGAAACACTCTGTCAACTACTATGCACAATTAAACTCCTATTTGTGCATGGTACAGTCTCACTGACCCAATGGAAGTCTCAAAGTTATTTTACTAATCATCTTCTGAAAGCTATAGCCTACCACTTCAAAACACAAGCACTTTTGGGTTTACCGCTGAGATGAAACACAGAAATGGTAGTCCAGTGGAAATCAAGTGAACCCATTTGTATTACTAGCTTTGTAGCCATGGGAGAAGTTGTACAGTCTCTCTAAGTCCTTTACAGCACAGTTTTCTGACCATTTCTTCTTTGCACTAATTGACAGCCAAAATACACATTTACTCTGAACTGGAGATCCCAAGTCCTTAAAATAGTTCAGTAGGCCTCCTATACAAGCACAGAAGGCCTTTTGTATCTTACTCCCTTCTGCTCCACTTGCAGAAGCCAGAGGAAATTGCTTCTCAATTCTCTATGCTTCCACATTCTTCACTAGCTCCCCTGCTTTCTCCTTCCCAACACTGAACACAGAAATATGCACTGTTATTTTAGTGATCATGTATGCCAGAGACTTCACAGGGACAAACCATGCCCTAATTGCTATTCCAAACAGGTATAATATGAAAGATCAAGCAAAATTCTGCCAAGGAAGAATGAAGCTGAACTTGTAATAACAGCAATAATCAGCAAAGCCTACACATTTGGGTGGCTTCATAAACTTGAGGGAAAAACACAGTAGTATGCCCTTTTTCTGGTCCTAAAATACAAGAGACAGTAAATAAGGAAAGGAAGGTGTTTTGAAGAGTGTTTCTATCTTTGAAGCGTGTTTCTTTCTTTGAAGAGTGTTTCTTTTATAGGTATGAACACAAGTCAAAGAAGGAAAAACAGTATCATAACTGCTAATCACTGTTCTCTTCACTGGGCTGCAAACAGTAATCCTGAAACCCTGACCGTCCAGCACAAGGGTACCTAGAATACAACTAGCCAAAAGAAAGACTCTGACCAGCAAAATTTGCTATTTATTGGTAAAGTACAGAAGAAACATAAGAAAACGTCCTTCAAGTCAGACAATTATAATTTATTTACAGGCAGCTCTCAGATTTTAACACATTTTATTAATGATACCTCAAGGCCATTACTATAGTAATACTACTTCAATTTAAAGATGTAGAGCTCTTAAAATTCTCATCTAGTTTAATATAGAAAAATAATCTTTCCCAGTATTCTACTCCATGAACACAAAATCCTTACAATCTTGTCTTTATATTTACCTGACATATACCTTACTTCTAGAATTCATTCTTATTTTACTTATATGAATATAAAAATCTGTCTCACTACAGCTAAAAGACAAAGTATCCCATGAAGTTCTGGCTGAATTCAAATCACGATGCATTTGAAGAAACTGCAGAAAGATGGCATCCCAAGTCGTTCCACACAAAAAAGCAAGCAATTGTTGCAAGATCTAACTTCCCACAGACTGTGGAGCACAAGACATGCAACATAATCTCATCTTAAACCTTTACACCAAGGGATCCACCCTTTGTTTAAACAGCCCTAAACCCTGCAGCTCAGTTGCATTCTACTACACTATCCATTCTGCAATGCAGCAACTAATGGTAGCACTACCTAGGTGGAACAAGAGCTTTGTCACGTAAGCCACATCCACATTTAAGTGATGCAGTCCTTAACTGAAAGGCCACCCACAGCATCTCAATGATTTTATCTCTCAGCTAAACACAAACTAAGGCTGTATGCAATCCCTAAATGTATTATTACACATGGATTCCCTGGTAGTATATTTTCTATTTAGACTGTGGGCTCTTTTTGATCCTTCATAATGGACAAGCCAGCTAGCAGGAATATAATAATAGTGCTTTATATCCTGCACTACCTGTTTACATTGAGAGTAACTTAATCAGCATCCAGGTATATACTATCTACTGTCTTTTATGACAGCTGCATCAGATCAGTTCTAACCCCTTCAAAATAGTGGAGTTTTTCATGTCATTAATACCCACTGTTCCTACCAGACCTTACATTTGGGTGACAAAGAAAGCCAAAGGTATACCTTATAGGATTGACTACACTCCCAATCAGGAAAACAGGAGATACAAATTCTGAGAAAGACAACAGGAAGAGAGAATTTTCCATCTATATTCTGTAGGATATAATCACCAAGTGTAATGTTCTTGTAATAAAATTAACTAGATACTTGTTTCTCAAATATAAAATACTCAGATTATGTTATTCACACCAGTCTAATTTCTCCAGAATCAGGAAGCACTTTTTACATGGGTGAGCATAAATTTCTCTTTTCCTTCTAATGGAAGATAAGATAGTCAATGTTTTTATGACAATACCTAACAGAACTAACTGAAATGTACTAACAAAGATGAATTTCACATTGAGAGAGAGGTGCAAACCACAAAGGATCATGTGGCCAGTCCCCCAGAGTGCTCAGGCTTTCAATGCATGTTAACCACCATCAGATCCTGCTGATCTGGCTCAAAGTGGCAATCGGTGAGATGTATACAGGCAGATCTGTCAAACCAAACCAGGCTGCCAGTTCTGCAATTGTATTTTTGTATTTCATGATTAAAGTGGCAGCCAGTGAGATTAAGATGCAGTGCTATCCCCAATAGGAGTACTTACTTAAGCCATTCAGGAAGGAACATTGTAAGAATGTGCTTCATTTTACCTTTTGATTTATTTAGCTAGTTTATTTCAGCTTTCCCATGTTCCAAGGATGTTACCAAATTCAAGTCTCTTCAAATATAGTAGATACAAGGAAATTCTGCAACCAGAACTAGCTCTAATAGAGAAAAGCTAGATGTGTATAATACTGACACAGTTCTTTAACAGTATAGAAAATCCTGTTAGAAAAGCCAGATGAAGTCAACACTCCAAAAATTTAGCGTACCTTTTCCATCAATGCAACTGACATTCTAAGGTTCATCTGCCAGTGTGCAGGACTTCATATATGATGTTTAATTATGATTTAAGAAGTATCTAATGAGCTCAAAAGGGAGAAAAATCACTTTATCTAGGACAGTTCTGAAAAGCTTGATACTATAACAAGTCTTCACAACAAGTTTGAGAACAGAAGCTCACTTTATCTACATTACCCATGCTCACTTTAAAACTAAGTCAGGGACACATATACGTGCTATTACGTTACAAATTGCTGTTATATACTCCAAGGGAGCCACACACAACTTCTGAACACAGTCTCTGGTGTGCAGGATGAAACTGCTGAACGTTACCGTACTGCTCACACTTACTTCCTCCTCACACGTTAATAATGTGTTGCAATACATCTGCTGCAACGTGGATAGGGAGGGCTAAACCTGCTAACCAGCCCTCTCCTTCCCCATCTCAGAGAAGGAATAAGCATCACCGTACTCCTGACAGGTAGAGGCACATGGATGGATGGCTCCATGCGATTTTATCCCGGAGCTTATCATGACTAAGCACACGGGTGTGAGAGACTGAGAAACGGAGGACCCACAATGCCGCTGTGCAAGCCGCAGCCCGACGCTGTGCTTCCCGGCACGTACCCTGCTGCAAGGATGAGTCAAGGACAAGCGGGCTCGGCCGCCCTCCTCGGGGGACGCCGGGCAGCGCTCCCCCGCCCGCACCCGCCCCGCTGCCCACGCCGCGCTCCCGGCAGAGAGCTGCAGGCCCCAGGCGCATGTGCCCGGCCTGCCATGGGCCTGCGGGCGGCCGGAACGGGTTCGACCGTCTTTCCCTGGCCCCTCCGCAAGCCGGCGGGAGCTGCAGCGAGCAGAGCAGCTACATCTGTGAGCGGCGATTCCCTCCTTCGCTCCCCCGCCGGTCCCCACTCCTCTCCCGGGACAGCACATGCAACAGGGAGCGCAGCAGGCGCCCAGCCCCGACGCGGTTGAGGCGGGAGAGCGCATCCCGCCCGCGGCGAGGCCCTGGCTCTACGGCAGCGCCCACCTGAGGGAGCGCGGGAGGCAGAGGGAGGCAGCGCTACACAGCCCGAAGCAGTCCCGGGCCTCGCACACGGAAGTGCCCGTCGTGCCGGCAGCCCGAGGGCCCGGCGGGCGACGGTGCTCGGTGTGGAGGGCAGGTGTGACTGCTACCTAGCTGAGCCGCGGGGGAGGGAGGGAGGGAGGGCGGGCGGGAGCAGCCCAGCCTCACCTGAACTTCTGGAACCGATCCTTGTCGGCCTCGAACAGCTGCCGCAGGACGAGCTTGGACGAGTTCGCCTTGTGCCACTCCACCAGCTTCTTAAACTGGGGGTCGCCGGAAAGCGCCATGTTAGCGGCCAGGGAGGGCTACAGCGGACAACAATAAGGCGCCCCGAAGCGAACACGGCGAACACCGCAATCCTCACCGCCTCCGCCTTTATAGCGGCGAGCTCGGCCTCCTGCCGCCGGCCCCGCCTCCCCTGCGGCCGCCCCGCCCGCCCTGACGGTGGGATTCCCTCAGTTCGCCTGCGCGGCCCCGAGAGGAACGAGTAGTGGTGGGGTTTGTGCGTTGCTGCAGTTCGTCGCGGTGGAGGCCTGCGCGGAGGGTTCGCTTGGCCCTTGGGGCTGTAAATCCTGCGCTGAGGGAAGAGCTGTTTCCCCGCCACGGGGCACATGTGCGCGGCGGCGGGCGCAGCGGTTCGGCGGACCCTGCTTGCCCAGTTCCTCTTTGGCCGCCGCCGCAGTTGTGCCAGGGCTGTTTGGGTGCATCGGTAACTGACCAGGGTAAAAGCAATGGCTCTTCCCGGTGTTATTTTTATCCTTGGTCAGCCCCACGGCCTGGTCCAGCGTGGTCCAGTTGAGGGGTGTGAGGGGCATGGGGCGCGATGAGGGAAGCCACCCGCTGCGTGGCCTCAGGGTGGGGATGCGTTCTGAACCCTGCCTGGCGTTGACACCACCGTGACATCCGTGCTACATCTCTAATCCCCATAGGGTGCCCACCCTTCCTGCCAGCAGCATCTACCCGCTCTTGCAGATGGCCGAACATCAGAGGGCCGCCTGCCCTGGTCTCTGCTCCAGGGCCTGGCTTCCTCTGCCCGTTGCATAAGGAGCTCAACGCGGCTGACCTGCGGCGACTGCTGGCCGGCGCCACGGTCTGCTGCTCGGAATGCAGGCCAGGGCAGGCGGGTGAGCAGCTGCCCCATTCTTCAGAAAGAAAAAAAGGGCTGTTCTGGGCACAAAGTAGAACGCTGCCTAAACACGGGCATGTAAAGAAGCATGTCAAATTCCAGAGACTGCACTCTGTGGCTTAGGTGAATAAATCCCAGTGAAGTCATATTTTAAGCACCTAAGCCCCTTTATGGATCTGAGCCCAAACTTGAGGGCAAACTTGACTGGTGTCACTAAAAGCACAGCCCAAGTTTTCAGCAGCAGGATCAGCCTCTTGCTGCAAAACAAAATTCTTACTCGATCCTTAATTACATTAGCAAATCTGTACCTCTAGTATAGTGATAATAGACTGCCTAAAAAAGGCCTCTCCTTACCTCACATTTGCTTGTTTTTAAGGTTTATTTTTCAGACTTTAAATAACTGTTTAATAGGCTAAAGCCTTTTTTCTTCAGCAAAATAAATCTTAATAACTTGATATGTATTATTTTTTTTTACATTTTGGAGGCCACTCTAATCCCTGCCAATCATAGGTTTGGGCAATTTCTCCAGGTTAAAGCCTTCTCTCATGCTGTCTGAATCTACCTCACCATCCATCAGTGCATGTGGTTCCCTGCATACCTTTACCTAAGGAAGGAAAATGAAATGACAGGTAACAATTGGACTATGGACTTGATTCCAGAAAGAAGCCCACAAATGCCCAGTAAGTCTTTAAGAAGCCACTTAGCTCATCATGCACTCTGCCATGCAAACTTCATACATTTTCCTTCCTTTTCAAGGCTTTTAGGATAAAACCCTCAATAATCTTAGAATCCTGTTCAGTGTCACACTGCAACCCAGGGTATAAAGTTCTTTGGCTTAATAAATACCTCCTATTAGTTACAGGGACACAACAAATACCCTTTTAAAAATTATATTAATAATATAGCATTTAATAGCATTTGATAGTCAGCCATGAAATACTCCTGATTTTTCTCAAATCAGGGCAAATTGGAGTTCATTAAAGTGATCTCACTACATCTGTACCAAATCCAGGGATTCTTTATATACACTGTTCCTGAGTTTCTCTCCTGCTATCAGCAGTAGTCATTGTTCTCTGAGCACTTTCATCACTTTCTACTGATTAGCTTCAAGGTCTGCCATGTATACAAATTTACATTCACTTCTCTTGCAGCTCCTCTCAGCTATCCTGTTGTTTTCTTAAATGTTGATGTCTCAATTTTGCTTCTACTTTTACACTTTTATTATTTCAAAACTGGCAATTCCCGTGTTCTGCCTTTCACTATAAAACATGGGTGGTATCCAAGGTGTTACTCTCTTCACATTCAGGATTTCACTGCCTCTTGTTACATGACCTGCTGAAATATTTTTGATGATTCCTTTCTTAAATCCTCATTCATCACTGTAGTTCCCCGGCCACCTGAGTTTTTCACTTCCTTTGCAAATTACTGAACCACAGTATAACTCTGTAGCTTCTTCCTGGTCTGATCAAGTAGCAACCATGAATCTTGTAACTGTTCAATTTTCAATTTTCATGTGAAATTTGAATCCTATGTTCTTATGCAGCACAACTGCCTCAGTCCAAGTTTCACCACAGCTCTCTTCAATTTTGTTTCCCCCCTCACTGTCATTTTTTATCATAGTCCTTACACTATTTGATTTGTCTCCAAACCCTCCAGATGTTAAACCTTGAAGGTCTTCAATTTTATTTGATCCAAACCCAAAGTCAGCAGGATTTTGCTGGCTTAACATCCCAAATCTACAAGCATTCTTCTCATACTTAGTTATATCTGTGCAAGAATGTATAGGCTCAAGTAATCAATAATGTATTAATTCTAGTTCACAGTACGGACAAACTATGAGTGTAACATCACTGCCTTGCTACCGATTCCACTTTCTGAAGTGCTGATTTTATTACCTGTGATTAATGTGCTTGCTGATTACATAATGTAAATTCCATTTACTTTCTTTTGTAACACTATATTCTAAAATTTTGAAATTTTGTCTCTCATTTAATTAGTTTAATAAGTTTATAGATTACCTGCCATTTGTATTTTCTTTTCTTAGATTCCTTTGGTGCCAGCACTTCCTTCTTCTTTCCCTAGGATACACACCTCAGAGAGTTTTAGAGTTCAAACTATTCTTATAGCAGATTATGCAAATTTATGACACATAAGGAAGTTTTCCAGGCCAAAGTCCTAATTCTGATCTTCAAAGACCACAGGACAGGTCTGTAGCTGTTCCAGGAGTTGCTTGTCTCTCCGTAAGCTATGCAACAGCTGACCACTACAGGGACAGTAAGGCCTTGTCTACACTGAAAAGACCGACTGATTTCATTGTACAGGGCAGGAGGAGGATTTGGACCTGGAAGTTCAGTAGTCAAGACAGCTGTTTCTTTGACAGCTGATAGCTGTCATACCAATTTCCCTCAAGATTAATTTTAAGGCAGCTCTAATGTAGATGGAAGTGATGATGTAGAATCACAGCAAACCCATAAACTAATGGAAGACAGATAGTCTGAACATAGTGGTGCTTTAGCTCTTGCAAAATAGATGTCTTAAACACATTCCTATTCCAAAAAGGCCAAAGGCTATCATAGCAAGGGATGACACCCTTTGGGGCTGAGAAAGGGCATTTTAGTAATGGATATTCTGCAATTAATGGAGATAAATTTTGTGACCGATAGGAAAAATGGTGGATTTACCATTTTACAAATGCCAGTTTCTATTAACAACAGCTGCACAATGACCTACTTATAAAAAAGACAAGTGAAAATTCCATTTTGGAAGACAGCTGCATAGAAATTAATATTTCCAAATGAATGTGGAGAGCCTAAATATTACTGCCTCAGGCACTTATGCCAGAAAGGTTAAGTGGCACATTTAATAGATAATCTCTATGATTAATTTATCAGAAAGAACCAAGTGGCTAATTTCCCCTAATAGAAATTTTCTGGCATGATAAAAAAATTTCATATATAATTCCACTTCCACTTAAGTCCATTGTACTAACCTATTTTATTATGTGAAAGCAAACAAAACTACAGACTTCCATTTTCTGCTAATGAAACAAACTACATGGGTGGCCACAGGAAAGTAGCAGAATGGATTCTTCTGAATAATAAGAAATAGGACCAACTTACAGATCCTGTACTCTGTTTCAAATACAATCAAGAAGCCAGATTTGCAGAGAGCTTCACAAGCAAGTTTCACCAAGCTTTTGGTTTTAGGAGTGGGAGAAACCCAAATGCACACTCACTACATGAACTGGTTGGAACACGGCTCACTCAGATCAGCGAAGAAACATGCTTTTCTTGAGATTGGAGGAGGCTTTGGGAAAAAAAACCACATAAAAACCTAAGGCCAAGACTGACTGTCAGTGCAGCAATTCTGAAATATTGGACCTGTAGGTATTGTTTATACCTACATTTTAAAGTATTTCTAATAAACTAAGTGCTCTAAATTTTTAAGAAAAGGACAGTTTGCAAGGAGAAGTAATCTTTTTACTCTGACTGCGGTAGGTACAAACACACAGAGAGAGCAAACTTCATGGTAAGGACAGACAGGAAGAAATTGCTCTGAATTAACTTTGCTAGGTAAATCAGTTAAAAAATTTGAGGGGGGAAAAAAAGGGTACCTGGCATCTGCAACAGTGGAAGAAACTTACAAGGAGAGAAGTAATGTGGGTCTTATCCAGAACAGCAGTTACATGTTTCCTTTGGGCCATGAAGTAGGATGTGCGTGGAAAATACTGATATATGGTCAATGTCAATGTCTCCATTATATCCATGTTTTTTCTGCCCTTTTTGTTCTTGGGTTTATCTTCTCAGAATACTTTTAAAGACTTTTCTGATGGTCAGGACAGCAACCATAGGTGGTGACTACTTTGTTTAAAGCTTCTGCTAATTCTTTCTATGTTTTATTGCTTGTCTATTTGAATTAATTAATGTATGTAGTAATTTTTTGGTTTATTTATTTGTATGGTTCAGTTCACATAGTCCTCATAAGGGCTTTTGGTGCATCTTTGGCTTAGATAAAACAAAAGTTTACAAAAAATGGATATTGATGGATCTTGAGCAGAGGTATCAGCTCTTGAACCCAGCATACAGGTGCACGGCACTCCTGAAACTCGCTGCAGAGCATCTCATCTTGGCAGCACTGAAAAAGTGAACCTCTACGTGATTCTCTGAGGGCTTCCTAATGAGTTGCTGGAACTGGAACTCCATATGCCTGATTCCAGATCTCACACCATATTTTTCGTACTAAAAAGTATTGCTGTTGAATAGATTTATGATACATGAACATTTCTTGGCTAGAAAGTAGAGCTGTGTTTTTAATACACTTTTTACCTGTCACAGGTTTTACAGGTTTTAAAACTCATGCAGAGAAATTTTGCAGATTCCACTTCCTTCTCTTCCCTCCATGGAGGCATGGGGAAGAATCTTAAATTATCCTGCTACAGACCTGCCTGGTCTTCACAGAATTAGCCCTGGGTAGTAGCTTCAGATGCAGACGAGGGTCTGAACAGTCTGGATCAGAGCTGGGAGCCAGAGGCCCCCTGTCCTGTCCTGTCCAGCCACTTCCCCAGCAATGCAGCAGTACAGCGCAAATGCCCCGCCAAGGACGCGCAGCTTCTTGGAAGAAGAAAATAGTAATAATCTACAGCAAGTCAGTGTAGCAGTTCATCGATCAAGGCTCGGTAGCCGTTCTCCTGCAGCTCTGCTCGGCAGTTACCAACAGATGGCAGTACGGCACTGGGGATTCGGTATCTGTATGCGGGCGTATGGACTTCCTTTCCCCTGCCCTTCCCAAGGAATTTCAGAATGGTTACTACCTTATTTTAAACTCCTCTCATTCCTCGCAGTGTTCAAGGCCAAGCTGGAGGGGCTTTAAGCGACTCGGTCTTGTGGAAGGTGTCCCTGCCCGTGGCAGAGCTCTGGAACTAGATGAGCTTTAAGGCTCCTTCCAACCCAAACCACTCTCTGATTCTGTAATTTCTTTTAAAAAGTAATCATGTGAGCCAAAATCCCCATAACGCAGGCAAGCTAAGAACATAAACTGTACTATGGTGGGAAAGGGAAAAACATTTCCAATTATGTCAGAGGCATGGTCCATAACAGAGGTATTTTCTCTAAGTTTCTTATTACTGGTAGCTTTCCATCTATGAAAAAGGGAGCCAGCAGTATAAATGAGCATTAAGCCACTGTATTTTAATTAACTGGCATTCTAAAAAGAGTAATGGCAATAAGTCTGAAACACAGGTAGGAAATGGTCTATCTCAGAGACACAAAAATTGTCAAACTAGAGCTTTTTTTATATTGGAATTATACTAACAATTTTACCAAGGAAAATAATAGTTCTGTGTAATTTAATATATTTATTACTGATCTGGAAAGAAAGCAAGTATCTGAAAAGGGAACAGCAAAATCTGTAGAGGACAAGTTCTTTATATTAAGTTTAGAGAGGACTAGAAAGAATTTCAAAAGACCTATTATATGGACAGACTAATGGCATGCAAAACTCAGTTTTGGTAACTACAAAGTATTGTACTATGGAAGCAAAGAAAAGGAGTTATCTATATCATTCACAGCATTCTAAAAAAGTGTATCAGCTTAGAAAATGGGCTGAGGTCATGTTTAGCTGTGGCCAAAACAAGTAAATCAAATGTTGGGATGCATGAGAAAAGTGATAATGAGTAAGTTGAAGAATGTTAGAGCAAACCGGTACTGATACCTTCATCTGGAAGGAAGTGTAATGATACAGTCTGCAAAGATCTTGATAAAGGATACTGCACAGCGAGATGAAATTAAAAGAAGGATGAGAAGAATGAACTGGACTAGTGAAAGGGCAAACTGAAAGAAGCTTAGTTTTTTACCCTTAAAATGAATCAGGCCTAAAAGACCTGTGATAAACCCATAAAAATTACAGAATATTACAGAAAAGATAGATTTTGAACTTCAGTCCTTGCTGAGGAAGTTTGTTGTGAAATGCAAAAATAACAATAAAATATGCATTTAAATATATTACAAAACCTCTTGTTATGCGAAATCACAGAGACCAACAATTTCATGAGATTCAGTGGTTAAATTGCTACCAATAATAACTCAAAAGTAGATTTCTTTGAATAAAAAATTGTGGGAAGTATATAAAAATTCCACGCTTCAGGTTTTTGACATTCAAAACACATTTAATAGTAAATTGAGATCTCATGTGTATATCAGATTATTATTATGGGTCTTCTACAGCTTTCTCCAAATCATCTGCTAATGGCTTCTGTTGGAAACCATACATTAGGCTAAAGGTATATTAGCTGAACAATTCCTATACCTACACAGTACAAAATTTCTGCAGTGATCATATTTTTTAATTCTACTGAAATCACAAATAGATTCCAAGCCTGTGCAGAAATGCATTTCAGTAGACCTATCAGTGGCTTCCCAATGTGCACATTATTTACCCTAGCAGGCTACTTTATGGGAAAAGAAAAGGGAAGGGAAGGGAAACGGACAGGAAAAGAAAAAGGGAAAAGGACAGGGAAGGAAAGGGAAAAGGAAAGGGAAGGAAAGGGAAAGCATATATGTATATCTAAGTGATGCAAACCTTTACTTTCCTGCAGAACAGCCAGCAATGTCTGTGTTCTTTCCTTGAATATGCAACTGCTTCAAATCCTTAACAATACTACCTGGCTTCTTAGCTATCATATTTGGACTCCTCAGCATCCAACAAAAAGCTTCAGGCTGCAATAACATGCTGCTTTGGGTATGACTGAAGTTGTTCACAGTCTGTCCCAGAATTGTTCTTGCTCCTTTTGGGCTAACTTGATGGAAGACCCATGGAGATGAACACTGAATAAGCAGTTAACATCTCTGTAAATACCTGCTAGGGAATACACATGGAAAAGAACCCCAGTGTCATCCTTTCTGAAGAACCTAGTATTTCCATGCTTTAGTTATCAGCCCATGAAATGCTGTAATGCTAATGCTTTACATGAACGGTAAGTAGTTAATTAACATTTCTTAAAGTCCTGAAACCTCAGATTAATAGTACTCTGGAGTATAAAGACATAATATTATTTCATTGACCATTTGTCATTTAAAAAGCTCTATGTCTAAAGCTTTAATGAAACTCTATGATGGCAGCAATTTCCTTCTTGTCACATTTGGGTCTCTTGTCTCTGCTAAGATGCATGTGTAGTTAAACTATGCATTTCTTTCGAGAGAAGCACTTGGTATTACTGTTTATATGATCACAGAAGCCAAATCTAACAGTAGAATCCTACACTTGAGAGAGGTGCATAGTTGTTTTGAGTTATTTTTAGAAGATATGTTTTCTGAATGAACGAATTGTGACACTGTATAACTTCTATTAGTACAGAAAAACATCTCCTCTTCAGATAACTATTGTTTTGTAAAAGCTACCAAGTCACAGTGTAGCAGTTCTAACAAAAACTGCTATATTTTGTTACATGAAACAATTAAACAATTACTGGCTACCAGATTTAAATATGTTTTGGTAGCATAGGAATAAATCAGTCTTGGGTACAATTTCTCTATATGCAATGGATTTTAACAAGGCAGGAAATAAATTTATAATACTACAAAAATCAAGGGTATTCTTACAATAATGAGCAACGAGCTATGAATCTTCAGTAATGTCCACGGCTACAGAAAAGCTATCAGAGGCTTTAGCAGTGGCCAAGAACACTTGAATAGTAAAAAAAATCACTTCAGATATATGTGTAGCTTGAGGCTGAAATTTCATGGTCATTGGGCAATTGTGCCATAAACATTAATAAAAGAATACAGCTTACTTCAATGGCTGCAAAATCGGGCCCCATGCAATAGTTTTTTTCAAGCTGCAGGTGACACTGTAGAGCATCTGACTGCTTACTTGGACTCCAGTGTCTATGCAAAAATCTTTTCCAAAAGACCTCTGGGGAAAACAAACAAACAAAAGATAACAAACAGCAAAAGATTGTTAATCAAGCCTCATCATGTGGCTTAGCACATAGCATCAAGAACATTCCTGCATGTCCCGCATAAGCAGCAGAGCAGGCTGAGGGCACAGCTGCTTTTAAAAGGAGTGGGGCTACTTTTAAAAGCATCTGAGATTTCTGCTCCATCAGAAAGACTGCATGATGATGGCCTGCAATTGCTCAGGTTCCACACAGAGCTGGTTGTGCTAACACAAGCAGATCTGAACACACATATTCTTTTTGTATATTCTGTGAAGCCAACTGTATGCAGAAAGGTTTTTCTGCCTTTCTTGTGTAATCAATAGTGACAGGTAAATTCCTTCTGACATTACATATAAACTTCACCCAGTCTCTCACAGTTCAGAGTTTTTTTCTGTTTACAAGCAAAGAAGCTGAAATTGGATTATTACTCTGAACAGCAATGGTGCCTCCTCTGATTTTTATATTACATTCTGTTTACAATTTCAGTAAAGATCTATTTACTAGTTGTCAGCCTGCTCCATTTAATATTAAAAGTTACTATTTCTGACTTCAATATGAAAATTAATAAAAATTCAGGAAGTACAATTAATAATTCTGCTAATGAAGTGATGGTCAGGAAGTTTACTCTTCATAACTGTATTAGTGGTGACATTAGCTGCCAGACATCCTGGCAGGAAAAATTACTCATCTAAAAAGAAAGCAAGCAGATATTTTATTTATTTTTTTTTTTCCTCTTGGAGGGGTAGCAAAGTTGTTAAATTATGTATCCCTTTTGATTGCATTCACATGGAAAGCATTTGCCAAGTTCTCAGAGGAAATCATTGCACCAGCCTGGTTTGCAGGTCTGTGATCAGCCATCCTTGTCTCTTGTTTTTGTAAAGGTGAGCCCATCAGTTAGGTAAAATATGGTTCCACTCGAAACAATGGGAAATTAATGTTGATGTTAGCAGAATTATGTCAGTTCCCATAACTATTACTTTTTCAGGTAATTGTTGTATTTATTATACTCTGTATTACCATTAAATATTATTTTTATAATTATGTGTAATTACATAAATATTACACATTGTACTTATTTTGCACATATACCATACAATAGAGAGGAAAGGTCTTAAAGCATACTATTTAGGGAAAATGGTATGTATTTCCATATTAAAAATACTTTAACAATGGAAATGGTTTAATACAGACATTTAAGTTACTTTGTTTTCTAGAAAAATACATTTTTTGGAGTCATAGGGTCTGATCTACTCTTGCTAAGTCTAATACAAGATTGCTGCTCATACTAAAAGCTGCAGAACCAAGCTCTTAGAATATATTCTTTTAAAACATGGTTACTACTTTAAATGTTCATAATTGCTGCAGTGAATTGCATATGTATCTGATGACTAGGAGTTTTCAGTATCAAGTAAGAAGTGACTTTAACACTTTTGGTCATGTGTGTTATTAATTCAAAGTTCTAGCAAATTCTCTGTATATGATTTTTTAATTGTAAATCAAGTCCTGAATGGGAAGCAAAGACAGCTTTAAAGTAGCATTCACATGGAAGTTTTGGCAGCTGACCCACTGAAGTGGAGTTTTGAGACTTGTGCTTTGCACTGCTATCATTTCTGCCACTAGTTTCCTTCCTCCCCTCTTAGTGAGGCTCCTGCTGGGAATGTAACACACATCACTGGAATAGGCAGTGATGTGCCAGCCTGCATCTGCTACAAAGCAGCCTAAAAATAAATCCCAATTGGACAATGCCATTTGGTGTAGAGCAGCACATAGTCTAATAATGTAAACCAGGCTGTCAGCAAAGATAAATGATTGTTCAGCTACATGCAAAACAAATCTTGGGTCTTAAAGTCAGAAACAATCCTTTGATATTCATTTATAAACACAGTCTCTCAAGGTTTACTATTATTGCAATTTAATGAATTTGCATCAGTGAAAGCATAATGAGAATGTCTCGTCAAAATTTACTATTAATATTTTAAGAAATCAGCCCATTTTGCAGCTTGTTTCAGTTTAAGGAAGTTCTCTGGGAATGCAGATTTTGGTTTAGAAGATGTCTGCCCTTCAGGCTGATACTTTTTCCTGTGCAAACCAGATAAGCCCGATTCTTTTGCTGGTATGTCTTTTAAAATCTCAATTCCGTAGATGGAATCTTTTCAGAAGGATCTATATGTTAATGTTGTTCTTTTTACAGATTGTTTGAAATACCTGTCTGTGGTTTTTTTGCTTGTGTGTGTTATCAGACTTCTTGAGTTTAAAAGAGTATGATCATGCAGAAAGTGCAAATTACTATAATCCAAATAATTGCAGACACTTACAGATACAACTTTGTACCTCATCCTTCTTGCTACCATGCAATTCTGCTGGGGGGGGGGAACCTCTCCAGATCTTTCAATTTTTGAGGTTTTCAAATTCCTATTGTACTGGATTTTGAGGCTATTTACAATTATTATTATTATTATTAATTCACAAATTGCTGACCTTGAAACAAATGCCCACATTTATTTTATGTAAAATGCAACTGCAGTTAGACACAGACTGGAATAATACTAACTGCAGATCCTGGGCCTTCACTTGGTAAATGGATCTCACTGCAGGATCAGCACCGTGATTTTTAAATTAAGTAAAAACATGACCAAAGCTAACAGGCCTTAAATATGTTCTGTTATTGCTACTATAATTAAAGCTGGAAATCCCCACATTACATGTATGACACTGTACAGCTGGAGGAATGATCTTTGCAAAGATTTCTGTTTATATATTTTCAGAAAAATTATTACGAACTCTTGAAAACATAGGGTATAAAACCACTACAGTTTGAAATTCATTCTTACTATGTACTGTGCTGGTCTGCCAATTCCATATGCACAAAAACCACAAGAGTGTCCCAAAGTATTTTGAGCTTGATTTTCTCAGGAAACAACCATTCCTAGAATTGAGATGAAGCAAAACATGAACTTGCAATCAGAAGGCCAAAATTAGCAACTCTGAGAGTTATTTAATCCATATGAGGAGAAAACACAACTCCTGACAGGGACAAATATGCCTAATCCTCAAATCCTGCTTTTCTGTAACCATGATTGGGGTCACCCTGCATACATAGCCAAGAGTTTGTTAGCTGGCACAGGGGTCATGCTCACATGCTTGTGGGTAATTACACCAGGAAATAGCAAATCATTTTATCTCAACAAATCTACAGATTGTTTTCTAGAAACAATATTGAATAGATTGGTCGACAGAGATACATACTGTATATTTTAATTTAAGAGCACAATAATAGAAGGTTATCAGTACTTTCATGATTATTATCTGTTACAGTTTCTATGACAGGACAGAATTGTCTGCAAATTTGTACAGAAGAGAAAATATTTGGATCTGCATTGTTTCCCCAGCTCAGAATGCTATTTATAAGCCCCAATACTTCTGCATCTTCTTCTATTTGTAGCCTTTGTTATGGTGAAAACCAAAGATAAATATGACAAATCAACTCTGTATATTTTTATCATATCAATCTTTGTAAAATGAGGTAATTTATTTATTTGTCATAATATCTGTAGTAACAACTAAAGATCAGACAAATACATGTGTGCACCTGTGCATATACATGAGCATTTCTTCACATGCTTTAAGGTTGTCTTTGAGCTGGATAAAACCCAACTACAGCTAGCATTAGTGAAATATCAAAAATGATGTGCTTATCATTCTATATTACCTTTATTTCATATTAAGGTAGCATGTATTTAGCTTTCTTAGAGGAGGCTATGCATAAGCTACTCTATTGTGATAAATTCACAATAGGTTCCCTTACTAATTAGTTCCTTTACTAATTAGGGTTTTTTTTATTTCCTATATGACTATGCATTTCAGTCTCTTCTCTTCTACTTTTTCTTTTATGCTAAACCAGACATCTGTCAGCTACATCACCATGTCTGAAATATTCTCCCATTAAAAAGGAAGAAGAGTATACTCTATCATATTATTTATTGCCTTCTCATTTTCTAAATCTTGCAATGACAAAGATTCTTGAGAAGTATACAAGGTGTATGACACTCAATACAAATCAAAGCTTAACTTTGAAAGATCTGTATCATATCACATCATTTCCTTACTTTAGCTCTTGGAATTCAAAAGAAAACTAACATATGCAGAATTCAACAACAGAAAACAACTGCTGTATAGAATTTGTATGCCATACAGATTGCTTTATTACTCCCTTATTTTCTAATAGCTGTTGTCTTGATGTTGTATACCTAAAAGGATCTAAAGGATCTATATTTGAGTTACAGTATCTTGATCCAACAGTGTGAAATAAAATTAAAAAAAAAAAAAAAAGCACCTGTAGGTACTGTTTATCTGCTTTGAATTATTTAGAAGTGCACACACAATGCTGAAAACTTTCTTCCCCTCAAACTTCCATTGTTGCTACCACAGGGCTGTTGTCTCAGTCCACTGTGCTGACATACAACAACTCACACAAGAGTTGCATGCTGCATATGTGCACTTCTTGTGGGACTGATGTTTTGTTTCCTGCCTCTCACACCAGGGAGAACTGTGATCTGATAGTCTGATACAGGCCTGGTAGCTTTTTATACCTCCTTTTACAATACTGCAATTGATTAGATGTCATACGAAAGATCTGGGAACCACAGCTATCAATTTCAACAAGGCTATACCAAATTTATATTAAGGACAGATGAATTGGGACCTTTGGAGCCAAGTGACAGTAGTAAGGTTTGCATGTGCCTCTTAAAACATGGAAGAAATAGTAATTGAGAGAGCGGATGCTAAGAGCATCTTTAACTTGCCTATTCAGACATAAAGGGCATCTATCTGCCTTAGATGCCCTGGCACATTTGGAAGATGGTGAAAGATGGAGAATTATTGTGAAATGCCTGAGAAATAACTTCTGGTAGCCCTTAAACTTAAGGCAAACAAATATCCAACAGAGGAATTTCTGGGCTGTGAAAAAGGCAACAGTAGAGTGAACCGTAAATGTTCTCAGACCTGCTCCTGCATTCCTGGCATGTGTCTAGCAGTGTGGGATGTTTGCATCTAATAACTCAGCCACTTTTGCATCATTTTGACTAAGGAAGCTTAAAAAGCAAGCAAACAAACAAATCATCACTGCACACTGTACCATCAGCTTTAGTTTAGTGATGAGGAGAGTGAGCTGCTCAAACCTGATCTCAGGTTTCTTAAGGAAAACCAGGCCCAGGAGGTGGACCACAATGTAAGCAAACTAAACGCTCTCTTGGCAGCAGTTACAGACAAGTATGAAAGCACCACAAGCTGACTAAACAAATCAAGAACCTGAAACCAGCCACTGAGGTCAGCTACTCTGGCTTTCCTGCTGGAGCCAGAGGAAAATGGTACACAGCCAATCAAGGATTGCTAGCTGCACTGGTCCTCGGAAAACAAATGAGACCGAGTTGCCAAGTTTTAGTAGGTAAGTCCCACTCTTCTCTGTCAACATCCTGAATATCTTCTGAAGCACAGGACAGACAGGTGGCCAAAGCTCCATCGTGGCCAGAGACTAGCTCATAAGCATCTCACATTTCATGATGTCACCACTAGACCTGGACTGGTTTGGACAGGACACTCAAAAGAGGCTCTGTATTGAGGGGTTTAGCAGGAATCATTTATGAAGGAAGCTTTGTCAGTCTTTTATTTTGTTGTTCCTGAGAAATGCCTTCCTCTAAGTGGATTGCTTAAATCCCAATCCCAGTTGGGCATTTCAGTATTTCTGTAATTACTTAAGAAACTCTACAGAAAAGACTAGTTCATTTGCATGCCATGCCTGCATCAGACCACAGTTTTATCCACTACACTTTTCTGTATGTTATGAAGTAATTTAGTTTCATACATGAGATACTGCCTCACATGTTTCTGTTATCCTTCTGTTCAACTTACTTTCATAATTCCACATTCTCCATTACAACATTACTCCTTATGGGGCAGTTTGCCATGATACAAAATAATCCGTATAGGCAAAAGGTAATAACAGTACCACTAAGGCAGTGGAATTCAGTTGCCTTTGTTACAGTGCCCTAACAGAAACTAAGGCAATGCAATAGCAGTCAGTCTCCTGATCAGTCCCCCTGTGACAATCCAGTGCTGCAAGAACTACCACATGGAAATTCTTTACCATTTAGGCTTCTTTCTAGACCACTTCAAATATTTATATGTATCTTTAGAAACATTTTTATGTCTTATTTATATGAACATAAAATCATAGAATAGTTAGGGTTGGAAAGGACCTTAAGATCATCAAGTTCCAACCCTCCTGCCATGGGCAGGGACACCTCACACTAAATCATGTCACTCAAGGCTCTGTCCAACCCGGCCTTGAACACCGCCAGGGATGGAGCATTCACAGCTTCCCTGGTCAACCCATTCCAGTGCCTCACCACCCTCACAGTAAAGAACTTCTTCCTTATATCCAATCTAAACTTCCCCTGTTTAAGTTTTAACCTGTTACCCCTTGTCCTATTGCTACAGTCCCTAATAAAGTGTCCCTCCCCAGCATCCTTACAGGCCCCCTTCAGATACTGGGAGGCTGCTATGACTTAAAATAAATAATTCAGAAGTCACCATTCATATAGTAACATATTTAGTATAGACCATTAAAATAAGAATTATATGTCCAATATAAGACACTAAAAACGTCAAATCCTGTTATCCAAAATACACATAACACCTTATTGCAATCAGTTGTACCAGGTCAAACAAACAAAACATAATCTGGCAGGTGGCCTCTAATGTCAAACATTTAGTATGAGGGATACTATTTTTCTGTATCTGTTTATGTTCTAGAATTAATTATAATTTTTTTTTCACTTCTTTAATAGTGTTTAGACTCTATGATATTAGAAGCCCTAAATACCCTATTTAATAAGTTGGGTCAAGTATGTAGAATTATGTTTTACTTTTAGTTACAACCTTATAATGAAATACAGTTAAATGCCATATTTATTTTTAAGTGGAAAAAAAACCCAAAACCCAAAAAACCAAACCAAAACCAACAGAAACCAGTCTGGTTCTCCTTCACACATTTACAGCGTATCTGTTTTATAACGGTCGTCTCAGACCTAGTATTACAAAATGTCAACAACAGTTCTTTGTGTCTCACAAGTATTCTCTCAATAGCTCCATGTGTGCTGCATACTTTGAACACTTACAAGCCAAGTGCTAATGGCTAACTAATAATGAATTCATAATCACTTGCTAGTCATCAGAATAATTTTTTTCTTTATAAAAACCTCTCCAGTATTTAGATGGCCATGCAAACTATTTTACCACAGCTGGCTTAGAAGTACATTTTTGTGGTTTTGCAAGCCGATTCTTTTTTTTTGAAAGTTTTCAAGAAAACAAGCAAAATAAGATCCCAGACATCTGAATCACCAGACATTCAGAAAACATTATATGTGTGTTTGAATAGTTGACTTCCTAAAGCAAAAATATGAAATGCCAATGACCATTTTGTGCATGCAGTTGCGAAAAGTCCATTCCTGTGCCCATCTAGCTGGTTAAAACAGAATTTTAGAGACTACTCCTCCCCTTCAGCACAAATGGAGGAGAGTTTTCTAGGCAGAACAGCAATTTAAAAACAAAAATCTTCTCCTTCATCTCTGGACTAGGGACACTGACCTTAGAAATATGCAAAATTCTTCCACTGCCTGTAAACAAAAATGGACTGCAGGCAGTCATGATCATGTGTCACTCTTATAAAACATTCTTACTCATTAGCTACTTTTTGGAAAGGTTATTTGCTGTCAATCAAGAGATAAGTTCTGCTTATAATCATGGTGATGACATCAGACCTGTAGAAGAGAAGATTAGTATGGGGAGTCTATATATATAAAGCAGAAGGTCATGGGACACATCCAACGTCAACTGAAGTTAATGGCCTCCATTCACTTTGATCAAAACTGGGCTGATCCATGTAGGATTAAGAGATTTTTATATATATATGTGTGCGCGTGTGTATTTATTTTCCTTATAGCTAGTATTGTTGGCTTGCAGCCTTGGATTTTTTTAAGGTGACCTATACCTTTGATTTGTCTGACAAGAAGAGGTGATTGTCCCTTTTCTCATTTTTAGGTGGCCGCATATAGTCAGTCATGTTCACTCTTTCCAAAGTTGGAGTTACTCCATGGAGGTAATGGGCAAGAATTTTTCCAATCAGCAGGTTTAGGGCTCTAACCTTGCCTTTCTTTTGCCATTTGGTAGTATTTGCAAAGAAGCTGGGAGAGAGGCCAGTACCCATTTTAAGCCTCAGGTTTCACACAATGGTCCATCAATGTACTGAGGGGTATAAAGCATAGGTCAGCAGCTTTCCTGTCAGGCAGCAAATAACTAAATTTCACTTGTCTGAGATAGGATTTTAGTTGTTCAGGGCTGCAGGACAGAACTGTTCTCACCCTGACAGCTGGAATGGATGATCTGTGAAATGTATTTTTAGAAGTCTTACTTGCCTACGTGTATGCTTGCATTGTCAAACACGCAGACAGCAAGAGGGAGTTAGGCTACCAGCCACGAGGACTGTGACATACTGTACAAACTGTATAACATAGCTAGATCTAAAGCTGCATTTTTGTTACTTCTCACCCTCCAACTGCAAATATACAGTCCAAATATTAATGCAACACTACTGCCGTTCTTCCTGTACTTCAACCATCCCATTGCTACAGCATTCACACTATTTAGTAACCACAAAGGGGAAATTGCTGCTGGTAAAATAGGACATCAGTGATCAAACCTGTTTTTGAAAATCACCCCAGTTTTTCCCACATTTCCTTTCCCTAAACATATCTCTATCTGATTAACAGAAACAACAACCTCTTGTAGATTAGCTTTTTCCTTTAACAAGACAACACACTCTTGAGGGATTTTATAACTAACATTCATCCTCCTAATCTTATCCCACACCTTGCTGATACGCATTTCCTTATTAACATTTGCACATGGCTATTGTGCCAGTGCTTTTTTTTCCAAGCTAATGATTTCTTCCTCCTACAGCCCATGACATCAAGCTGTAGTCATAATACATTTCAAAGCTGCTTTCCTCTCTGTCTAAACAACATTGTTACATTTTTTGTTTAAACAGTGCATTGGTTTCCTTCCCCTCCTATTCAACAGAAGTCATGGAAAGCACTTTTCACGTACACTTAACATCACTATGAAAATCATAACTGGATACCTGTAGTCTATGCTGATTTACATATGTTTTTACTAAATAGTTAAGCATACCACCACCTTTCAAAAATATTTAGAATTCACAAAATAAAAAATCAGACTGTTGAGTATAAACATAGCATTGTAAGCATTCAGAAAAATAATTTTAATGTCACGATAATTATACTACGTACTTTCTTGTCCTTAAGAGTTTCCTCTTTATTCTGCATTATGTGCTTCTACTGTACTGAATGTTTCATACACTGTTTATATTAAAAAGTGTGAACTTCCTACTTATTTCTCACTCTGTTTTAAGTATTAAGGCTAGGATTCTTACCAGTCCTCTGCGCCTTTATGCTCCTAATCTATAAACTTCATCTGTAATAAAATTCAAATGAAATGTCTCTTATCTTTAGAGGCAGAATGTGTTAAAAGTTGTTACACAGCACTGTAAAAAAATTATATGTAAATAAACCAAGCAAGTCAAATAAAAAAATATGCTTATTGTGTGTTAACTCCACTGAAAGTGCCAACAGAACCAAATTCTGCACAGATCCATGGAATACAATTAAATCACTAGGATAACAAAATAGGGAACAGATTTAGAGACCTCCTGATAGCGTGAAAGGACACGTTTGTGTACTGCATTGTATTGAACTGTAAGACTAAGTTGGTAGAACAAATTTCTGCCTGTGAGATGTCAGCATGGCTCGTGTAGTTTTGGGATCTATTGGTAAAACTGCATGTTGGTAAAACACCTAGCTTTGTCAGAAAAAGTTCTGGTGGCTGGCCATCAGCTAGTGCAACGTAATTTGTCATCAATTCATCAGCAGGAGATTGTTGTGATCCCATGAGCACCTTATCATGCCCTGCATATGACCAAGAACCACAAGGTACACAGCTTGGAGAGCAGAAGGGTTTCTGCAGGTGGGAAATGTCCATGGCTCACCAGAGATTCTAGATTTCTTTTTGGACAGGTCTGGACTGGACATGCAACAAGACTCATGTGCGAGAGGTAATGTTTGCCTTAGTTTCTCCTAATGGTTTGCTCTGACTGGTCCAGACACTGCTCTGCACTGCAGTGTGATGCAACCTCGGCACAAGAGCAAGACCTCAGTTCCTGGATATCTGCTTGCAGATAAGAAGCTCCAGACTGGCCACTCTGCTTCCCAAGGACAGGAAATGTAAGTACCCCTAAGAATATGTATCTGTCTAGATGTGTTAGTCTCTCTCCATTCCTCGAAAAAACCCAAATGAAAAAATGAAAAGGCGGCATTTTGTGAGCTTTTTTGGTCTTCTTTTAAGGTGTAGCCTCAGTATCTGGCCTGGGAGGAAGGATAATCCATCTCAGTATTTTAATTTCTCTTTCCCTTCCTTTCCAGTTCCTTCTGACTTCCTCCAGACTCAGGTCTTTCACTTCATACCTGTACTTCCTTCCTATTAAAAACCTGTTGAAACCTTGTTGGAGTCTTTTTAATCATTTTTTTAAGTCAATCTTTCATCTACCATTTAATTAAAAACATAAAAGAAAGGAAAAAAAAAAAAGAAAAAAGGCACCTTCTCCAGCCCTTTACTGCACTCTGCCAGTACAAAAAATACTCAGATATCCCTCCCTCTTGAAGGAGCCAACAATACGGCAGCCTTCTGTTCGGTTGTGTCTATCCAAGTATTTCCTAGGTATCTCTTAATTGAGACAAGCTTAGCACACATGCAAGAATCAGAAAAGTTTGGAGGGAAGACACTGATAAGAAGTCCAGTCTGCCAGCCACCATCTGTTATGAGAAGGAAACAAAGCCACAGATTGCTCCTAGGCAGCTCCCCGCAGACACTACTTGAGAACTATTTGTAGTGTGTGGCTAGAAGGTGTCCAAAAAATTGACAATTTCACTTCTTCCCACGGAGTCTTCTGATTAGCAACACTGAAACTGGTGGAAATTACTGTTATTTTCACTTTATTAGTACTAGATCCAAGTGTGTAGGTTTGGGTTTTTTTTTTGTGGGTGAATTAGAGCCAGATGAATAGATGCTTAGCCTCGCTGACAAAATTTTTTGCTGACGTATATTGCAAAAATTTTTAACTACTCTCTTACTATTACACATTACCTTATTTTATAACTTCTACCGGACATTTCCGTATGTTATTGAATTCTTATTCCATTTAAAATGCAAGATTATAAATAAGCCTTTTCAATAAAAAATGTTCACTTTCTCCTAAGACAGGATTAACATAAGTATTCCAATGGAAAAGTAATTTGAAAATGCATCGTATTGTGCAACAAACTTTTCTGCATAATATAAGCCTGAGAAATAATAACAAACCAGTGTAAACACAGCAAAGCCATCATAGACTAGGCCTGTTTCTGAGCAATTCCCAAAGCCAGCAGCACCATGAAAATTATGTCCAGCAGATCTATCTGAGATAATTGTTGTGCATTTTACCTAATTCCCACATAAGTCCATTTAGCAGCAGTGTTGAATTCTGCAGTTTCTCCAGCCAGTGGTTTTGAAGGAAAGATGAATACTGCACTTTTCAGGTGCCACTGAGGATCTCCATCAGAAATTAGACTACTAAGGACGCTGCACCTGACCACAGAACAACAGAATGAGAAACCTCGTTATTTTAAGCAGATATTAAATATTCACTGATTATTTTTCTTCCTTCTCCACTTCTTCCCCTGCCCCGCCTTGCCGCACCCTCACTGCCCTGCGCCCCTCACAGCCGGGGCCCCTCCCGGGCGGTCCCTGTCACCCCCTAAATGGAATAACCCCGCCGCCCGCCTCGCCTCCTTTCGTCCCCTTACTCCATCCATGTCCCCGGCGGCCCCAGCGCCCCCTGGGTCCCGGCGCCGACTCTGCCCCCTGCTTCCCCCCCCCACCCCCTGCCCTTCCCTCACCCCTCCGCCGGCAGCCGCCCGCCCTCTCCCGCCTTCCCCTTCCCGCTGTCACTCGCGGCTCCGCCCGCCCCCTCGCCCGGCCCCTCCCCGGCGCCCGGCGGAGGAGCCACCGTTTCCGGAGTACACAGAGCGGGGCTGGCCGCGCGGTGGGGGCTGTTGCGGGCAGGTGAGTGAGCGCCGCTGCTGAACCCGTGCTCCCGCGGCGGGGGCGGCCTTCCCCCGACCCCGCGGACAGGACTTGTCCCCGGCCGCAGCCCCGCAGCCCGGCCGGCAGGGCCCTGGCGGTGCGAGGCACCGGGCTGGCACGGACGGCGTTACCGCCGCTCCTCCCTCCCCGGGCGCCGAGAGGCACGGGGCGCGGAGGAGAGCGGCCAGCGCCCTGCGGCCGCTCGGGGGAACGCCCCCCGGGCCGCGGCTGGGGACACCGGCAGGGGCTGGGAGGAGCCGCTGGCGGCGCCTGCGGGAAGCCCCGGCCAGGGGGAAGGCGGCGGCGGTGCCCCGGGGCGCGGCCCGGTGCTTGTCGCGGCGCTCCCTCAGCGGGGCCGGGCTCTCCCTGTGGTGGTGGGGGCAACCGCGGAGCGGGCGCGCAGCCCGGGGCGGTGGCGAGGCTGCAGCCGCCCCCGGCCCCGCACGTCTCCCGTTCCCGCCGCCGTGACCCGAGTGCGGGCAGCCCGGGGAGCGCTGCTGGGACTGCGCCTGCGGGAATTCCTGCGCACCTTCCTGCTAAATAGTGACCCGCGGCCTCCCGGGGCGGTCGGCCCGTTGCGAGAGACCCCGCCGCGGAGGCCTCGCCTCGGGGCTGCGCGGCGCTCTCCGACTCCCGCGGTGAGGCGGCCTCCTGTCCGTCCGGGCCTCCCGGGCGGTGCCGGCGGGAGCTGCCCTTCGGGAGAGCTGTAGCGTCGGGCTCGCGAAAGCACAGCTCGCCACGGTGCCCGCGGTGGGCTTTCTTCGCGCCCCCCGGCCCGAAGGCCTGTGGGTAGGAGTGTCTCCTTGGCCACTGCAGCGGTTTTTGCTTGCACGGGTGTTTCACCTGATGTTGACTGAGAGTGCTCTTTGTTGTTATCTAGCCTTATGTTTAATGCGTTGTATCCTCATGGTAATTGCAAGCACAAGAGTGTAGCTCATTTTGGGCTGTAGCTTAAAACTTCACTACTGTACCTTCTCTTTTCCCTGCTTGAGGGGTTTTATCGTCTGAGATGGGAAGGTATACATTCATCAGGTGGATGGTGGCTTAGAAATTTGAAAGGAGTTAAAAGATCTCATTTGCTTTATGTGAGATTATAAACCTTGTTACAGGTATAAATCAGCCACTGTTATTATTGGGTTTAGAGAGGAATAGATGTTGGGGTGTCTTAAAGAGCAGCATACATCAGGTGTGTGTAGTTGCAGTTCACTGCTTGGCTTTTAAGAGTCCCTCAGCCTGTGGCTCCAGAGGCATATGCAACTGGCAAGAGGTTGTGGCTTGGTTCCCAAAATGGCACTGCATCTTCTAACTGCTCGTGTGGCTGTTGAATAATCTCAGATCAAGATATCAGGGAAAATGTTGCTGTCAGATTTCTTGGCTCAGTGCTATCTTGCAAAGGGGCACTGATGCTCTTGAGGAACTGTTATTTTCTATGGGCAGAGGGTGGCTGAATTTCCTGAGAAGTGCTTCCCTTCCCTCACCTCTCTGAGGTATGAGTCGCATAGCTCCTGGCCCCATGAAAGTTTTGGTATGCAGCTCATGGGATCAGGAGTGTTGGCCTGTCTTGGTATGTTCACAGGTGCTATTTGTGTATCATGGGAATCAACTCAATTTTGTGCTTGGCTGGAGTCTTCTACTGGGAAACATTTCTACAGAAGATAAGCTGGACACTTTTTTTGTAAAGAATTGCTGGTCAACATACATGTTTCTGCAGCTTTGTGAAATCTTTGGGGAGTTAGGAACTGTGTAGGAAGCAGTACAGAGCCACTGCTTTCCATGTATCTGGTGGTACTGCTTCCTAAGTCAATGTAAGGCATAAATCCTGTTGGTTTCTCATTCTGAAACAGGAGTTACTATGAGGTGTTAGGAAACTAGAGATTATGTATATAGGGAATATTTTTCTAGTCAAAAGTCTCCTCTGAGACTCTGAAATTAATAGTCCTTCATAGAAAGTAATGTGAAAATACTTGCTACACATGTTTAAAAGACGGGTCTAGGTTTCTTCCACTTCTTGGGCATCATCTTCTCCACTTCTCGCTATTTATTACTTTTCAGCACCTTTTCCCCAGTGTACGAATGACAGCCGGTTTTATTTTACAGCAAAAGAACTGTATTTTTGCTGTCCTATAAGGTATAAGTGAGCTTCCCTTTACACCTTGAATTGACTGTAGTTTTAAGTGCTGCCACTTGTGTTCTGTTACTCAAAACAAGATTATCAAGAGAAATTGTGCTGCTGCTTTTGTTTATATAGTAGTACTGTAATGGGAAAAGGCTTTGTTCCTGGAACAATGAATACTGGTACACCAGAAATCCTGCTAATGATAGTGATTAATGGGTGCTGCTCAAAATAGCTATCACTGCTGATATGACTAATTGTGCTGTATGAAAAGAGCTCCTTTATTCTCAGTAATCTCAAGGTGTTTCTACAGTTTTGGATAAATGCCTGATCTGTGCAGACAGATAAATGCACAGTGAAATGCAGAACTTGCAGTGAAGTATGGCAGTTCTTTAAGGGCTTGCTGCTGTGCTGCAAAACCACTTGGGGCTGAAAATGAAGAATATTTTCTTGTGGTTACTGTAGGTAGACAGAATATTATTACTGGAATTGGATGTTAGCCAGACCAACACCCTATGTGTTGCAAACAATGCCAGGGTATTGTTAGTAGCTACAGAAGGGGTTTTATATCATACATGAAAGATGACATTTCCAGCAGCATGGGTAATCTCATCACAAAACATTGTGTTGGGGCTGGCTCAGAGGGCAACTGACTCTGCTAGGACTGACAAAATCTACAGTATAATAACGCTGGTCCTCCGAGAGCTTGGTGATATGTCGGGATTAGTGTTTCTTAACCTTCATTGGCCTTTGAGTAGCAACAATGTATTAGTAACATGCCGTAGGTAGTCAGTCTTGTGCTCTGCAGGAACTGCAGATCTAAACCACAGAAGGTGCTGTTTCTCAGTATCTGTAAAAATCTGAAGTTCTGCTGATGAAAAAATATTTTGAAAGTTAAGCACAATTTGTTAAAGATGGGTTCCAAATTCACTAAGAAGGAGTTAGTAGTTATATTTTGTTGTGCCTCTGCCTTTGCCATGGGTTTCTGCTCTTCTGCTGTTTGTGTACCTCAGGATAACTTTATGGCAGGAGGGGTGTAGATGTTCATCCCTTCTGCCCCCAAATAAATTATTAAGGGATGTATATGGGGAGTAGAAGGCATTCATTTAACAAATCCTGTTTTGCGGGTTAATCGCTGGTTTGGTGTGATACAATCCCAGTCTCCTAGTGTTCTGTGAATAAACCGTTTTGGTTCAGTCCTTGAATTTTGCAAAAACAGTAATTAAAAAAATGATTTTTTTCTATGAAACTTCAGAAAGATGATGTTGGTGTTAATGAGGTGTGTATCCACTTTGAAGTGCTTCTGACATTATAGGACAATTTATTTTGAGAACTGTGGTTTTGAAATAACCAATCTTGTCTTACTTTGCTGTAATTAATGAAGATTAGTATTTTGATAAGATAAATTTGGGGGATTGATCTGTATGGTTCTATTAAGGTCATAAACTTTGCATCAAGTCCAGTGATCTGGGTTGGAGTAGCCTTGGAGTACAAGAGAAAGGGGTGGGGGGGTGGGGGTGGGTGGAAAACAGCGGAATAGAAGGTCTAGAATTGCTAGTTAACTTTGAATAATGAAGAAGAATGGCTGAAAAGGGGCATGTGAAGTACTGCAGGTGTGATGGGGGATCATGAGATGTCTGTGTGTAAAGGTCAGTATGGGTGTATCTAGGAGGCTTTAAGCATGTTCAAGAGCCTTTATAGCAAGTCAGACATTTTTCCAGCTGTTATATTGCATACCATTGGTAATACATTGGCTTCAGCCTAATGATAACATATGACAGCTTATCAGGGCAAGAACCTTTTACAAGTTTTTATTTAAACAAGTCAAGTTTGATTTGGGATGTTCTAGGGCTTTGTTTTGAAGAACTGTTTTCATAAAGGAAATAAATGCTCTCCCTTCTAAGGAAAGACTTTCTAAGGAAAGTCCTCGCAGGAAAACATGGTAGCACTAGTAAATAGAATTTTTGCTGTATTTGCTAAAAAGCAAAACAAAACCTTTAAAAAGTTTTTGCTGCAAGGTGGCCATCTGGTCTTTAGAATAAATTTTTACGTTGTGTGTTTTTACTCTAGGGTCACATCAGAGAAAATATTTTTTTAGGAAAAATCTTTACAATACAATTATGACCAATTACTGCTTATGTTCATAATAAAATTTTTCTTAAAAATGACTATTGCATGTTCTCTCTCTAAGGCTACCTAGATTTTCACTGTCTTGCAACAGAGCTATACAACTTCTTTGTTGTCTTTTGTTTCTTGCTTTCCTAATAGATTTCTGCTTTTTCAAGTGGTTAGAGTTTTTTTGTCAATGGGACTCTCCTTGGTTTATCTAGTCATGTTTCATTGGGGTACTTGTCAGATGCTGAAGTCTTCTGATAAGCATTTCTGACAGTAGCACTGCAAAAGATATATTATTTGGAAAACTGCTACAGGGAGATCCATGTACCACCTTGTCAGCCGCCTCTTCTCAAGTTTAGATGTTCTGGTTTTGTTCTTTCCTGACACCACTTGTGTGTTGGTTAGAAAGTTATAAGAGAATGTGTCAGCTGGTTAATAGTATTTTAGGTGTGATTCTTGTTTAGTTGT